ATTAAGTTGTGTACTGATCTCCAAGGAGCCAGAGCCCAAACGTGGGACTGAGCCCACAACTTCAGTGTTTGTGTCAGACACAGCTTCATATCTATGCACAGAAACGTACATTCAGTTGTCGATTAGAAATTAACATAATCGACGAAATTCTTAATGATCAGTTATCGATTAGTCGACTAATCATGTCCATCCCTACTGTGTAAGTGCACTGTTATGGAATTATTGCAACTCATAATTTTTAAAGATATTGTACATTTTGGCTACGTTAAGACTCAAGACCCATATCTGATTTCCAAATTCCCTATGCACCCTGTATCTGATCTTTTAGCGACACAGATCCAATTTTTTTCAAATGTGACCCAGGCCACTTGGATATGTGCTCCTAAAACTGATACATATCTGATCTTTTGACATGCGACTTCAGTCTGAACGTCCAGGTCACATTCATCCCACCTACACGTCAGGCTCAGAATCTAGTCAAAAGAGGAAAAGCGAAGTTAGAAAGTTCATTCATATTTGGGGGGATTGCTGTTTTCAGGTCAAATTGGAGGGATCTTATCGGAACCAGGCGGGTTTTGAAATGATTGCCAAAGAAATGTCTGAGCGTGGCTACAGACAGTCCTGTCTCCAATGTTAATGAAAAATAAAGAGCCTGCGAGCCAAATACAAGGAGGCTAAAGACTCAAACAAACAAAGCGGATGTGAACGTGTCACCTGTCCATTTTACAAGGAACTGAATCGTGTTTTGGGAGACGAGTCCAGCGTTTAGGCGACTTCTGTAAACACTGAGCACACTCGCTGTGTCTGACGTCATCGTGTCCTCCAATGCTTATGTGGGATGCTTTTGGGGCATTTTAAGTTCACACTGGAGATCAGAAACAAGTCACATTTAACTGGAAATGTGAACGACCTCTCAAAAAATTGGACCCTGCAGTCTGAACGTAGCCTTAGAATACTTTTTATGGATCTGCATTATAGAATGGTTTCAATATTGTCGTTTTATCGTCTAGATTTACTTCAGCAATATATATCACACTTCAAAATTGGTCATTGTGACATAGGCCTACTGACATACAACTTAATGACTATATTATCACTACGGATGTAACAATAACCGAAATATTGTGGTATCGTATCGTCAAAGGTCTCACAATAATATCGAGAGCTGTCACAATATACTGAAGCACAAGTTCCTTTGCTTAAATGCATGGTTTTATAGTAGCAACAGTGTAATAAACATAGGGCACTACATATCCCATGATTCATTTCAGCACAGACAACATGAAGAAATATGTTTTTGACTTGAATTCTTGGGATTACAACAGGAATGACTGGCACAAAGTCTTGTCAAGGTATTTCAAAAGCAATAAGCATCCCATCTACAGTTCTATTTCCTTCTCAAAAATATCGCAATAATTATCATACTGATGCATATCGTGAAAATATCGTACCGTGAAATTTGGATATCGATACATCCATAATTATTACTATTACTTGCCTATCAGTAATTCATATTCAAATTTGATTATTTGTGCTTTTATTTATTTACTATGTATCAGTGCACAAACTCCAGTAGCTGCTGTATTACTAAACAATACTCTCAACCTTTAGCAAATTTTAAAGGTGCATTGTGTAACTTTTCTGGTGGAGGGCCCGTCAAACGCTTTTCTCCATGGAGATGTTATTGGTTTGCCAAGTTACAGGTCAGATCTGTGGAGTCAGAATGCCTGTTTTTCAAGGTACCATGCAGAACTCATACTGTTTATGATATTTGGTATATGAGCCTATTCAATCTATCAGGATGGGAAAAGATGGTGTACACATCAAAAAACGTTCTTGTGAGATTTTTTTATTTTTTTTCATTTAGTTTAGATCAAAAAGAGTTATGCGCTGGTTAGTAGGCAAAGTAGCCATGATAATTACGATATACTGACTTATCACTCAATACGTGAAAACTGGAAAAGTATTATTGTGTGGTCAGTATTTATCATGGGTGCATTTTCTTTGCAGGACTAGGATTTATTTATTTTTGTTATTTTCTGAATAAAATAAGATTTAAGATGTAAAATGTTGAATGAATTACTTCTCTGACTCATTACTGATACCAACTATGTACTGAGGTGATTTTCAACAATATCGTAGATTTAGAATAGTTTTATATCTCTTGAGGAGCTGTGGTTCCTAAAAAATGTGTCTTCTACAACAACAACAAATTAATAAAAAAAAAATGTTAGCCCAAAACTGCAAACAGGACAGCACAATTATTACAGTATAATTATTTCAAAATCTCACCTTGTCTCATACTCGTGGATTTAACCTCTCATGGAAATCCTGTCTCATCCCACCACTACATCTCTGCTACTGATCTCATCTCTTTATCTCTTTATTTAAGCTCTCAAAGACAATCCAACAGTATCATGTAAAGTGTAAACCTGCAGAGAAAACAGTGACTTTGTGATGTTCTAGCCGTGGTGTGAAGGGGAGCACCCATTTCGCGTCCATTCTACAAAGCAGGTCACATGGGTGCAGTCCTCCACAACAGAAAGCTGCTCAAAGTGACCAGTGCCCCATCTTAAACACACATTAGACACGGGTATCACATGCTACGGAAACTGTACGACTCCATGACATTTTTAAAAGCATCTCCGGCGTTAACACCTCCATAAATCAGGCATGTCACCGGCGTTACGCACGCCTCGAGTGTGGGTCACTTCTCTGTGACTCAGGGGCGTGTCTGACCGCGTACCCGCACACTACAGCGGCAATCACCCCTTCCGTACGTTGCGTAATCTGGTTTCAGTCCATGTTACTCACTCGGCTCGGTTAAAACTCCATCATGTAGCGGCGTAAAGCTGTGCGTCGGGTATGGATGCGGTGCTATTAGCCACGCTGCTAACTTTCCTAGGCCCGATCTGGAAGAACCACGTGGTTTCGACAGCTCTTGGCGCGATGTACAGCTCAGCTACCGGCTTCGCGCAGCAGCCACACCTCACCATTAGCACAACGTGACAGCCACACTTTCCTATAAACCAAAACTTAAATGCAACAACAACCACCGGTGCGTTAAAAGACATGAATGAAGATGTTGAGGCGCCGAGTCGTTACCAAATAGCCTCGAGCAGCCTGAAAAACGCAGCACTCCCGGATCGTCACGCGAATACTGCTTTATTACACGAATATAAACGCAGTGGAGCAATGACAATCGCGTAAAAGCACAGATACGCGTCGTAATGGCACAGATCGCGCACAAACAGATGGTTATAACATGAAATAAGCGCAGAAACAACCTGTCAGTGTTGAATCAGCATCGTGACAGTCTACGTGTCCAAGAATTTACCCAAACGTGATGCAGCACAAACACAGACAATGCACCAAAGCTCCCAGCAAAAGCACTTATTACATTATTACCTTGTTCATTACTGACAAACAAATGTAAAATAATCAAACTTTTGGGAATGCCATAAACATACCTGGAGGGTGTCAGCTGTCGTTACGCATTAGTGTGACACATTTCATTTCATCATTCCATTATTTACATGAATTACATCTAATCTTTCCTAATAGAAGGCTTAGCAGTCACCTTTGCACACTTTACTTTACTTTACACTACCCCAGAGGTTTCACATTGCTTTATCAAAGCTATCACATGGTCTTAGGGGTCAGATGATCAGTACGTAGAAATGCACAATAATATGAGTTGTCATATTGTTTTTCATGAAGAAATAGAGTTGGTAAAGCGGTCAGTGAGCAAGGCCAATGCCCTTCGACCTAGCCAGAGTAGTAGTCAAAGGAACCGTGCTAGCGACGCATATGTTTCACCCGGCGAAAACAACTCACAACAAATCACACTGTTTAAATGGATTTTAAGTGTCCCCAGCTGCTAAAGTGGCGGGGAATGTTTTTGTACAAAGCGTCACCCCGCCGATGATGACATGAGTGTTGTTTTACATAGCGAGAGTGAGTTAGCAGAGCGAGCTAGCCGAAGCAAAGAAAGAACACCCACGTCGGTATCGCTGCCCGATCTGCGGCGCTGCCTGATCTGTCTCCGACGGCGCTTTACGCTTGCGCAAGCCGGTCTGCCATGTTTAACAGCAGCAACACTTGCACAAATATTTGATCACACTTCACCCCACAATAGGGTGACCAGATTTTCAGAATAAAAAACTAGGACATTCCCGGGTTTTTGGTGGTTGCTAATAATAAAATAGTGAAACGAGTCCGTCATGAAGGAAAATTGTTATGCAGATTACATTCATGACTAACATGTGAGTCAGTATAGTCACGTTTTCTTTGTGTTTTGGTCGTTTTAAGCAGCTTTTACCCAAACAAATGACAATGTATGCCTCTCTTTACTGTTGGCAAGTATCAAATTGGTCAAAAATAGGAACATCTGGGACATTTCTTGTATAAAACTGGGACAAATCCGTGGTTTTGGATAAATCTGCTAGGACAGGGGACACAGGACTCAAAACTTGGACTGTCCCGGGTAAATAGGGACGTCTGGTCACCCTAAACCACAAGGCACACGCAGTCTTGGAGTCATTTACGGTATCTACACCAGGGGCTCCATGATTCTTGAGGCCACATTTTTTATCATCTTGCAACATCAATGCAAATAAAAGTATCTACATAGAATAAGAGACAAATGACAAAACTGACACATGCCAATGTAAATACACAGCGTGTACAACATCCCCAGCTGTTTTAACCCGCTCGGAGCTGTGTTGATCATAGATAAGGGGATGTGTGACTCAAATCGGGCAGTGACAGTTGTAGCTCAGAGTGCTAACGAGCGGCTAGCGGCTAATCCCTGAAAACACAGCAGGAACCAGTCAGCAGAAACCACGCAGAAAAGTCCATAGATTTGCTGTTTACTGTAATCTAAACATGACACAACCCCCAGGTCTAAAATCTAACGCTTTTACAGTATAACAACCTCACAAATAAACGTAAACAAATGTGTATTTTTGGAAGAATTTAGTTGAGGACCGTGGTATTACCTTTCTCTCCTTGAGTCCGCAGAGCCGGACGGACGGAAAATCTTCCCGGAAGCCGGCAGCGAGGTAATTCCGGCAAAATCCCATCACGTGAAACTGCTCCAGCGACCCACGGCTTGAATAGATCATATTTCTTTATTTACGTTAAATCATGTTGTTTAAGTGAGTCTGTATTTTCTCGCAAATTACACTCTACTACAATATTACTAATCTGTTACTAATGTGATTGACGGCGACATTGGTTTACATATTTTGCTCATTTAATTTAGCAATTTATAAAAAAATCAGTGTAATTACTTATTACCCAGTTAAAAAATAAAAATTGTAAATATTAACATTTATATAAGTCTCTATCTAACTATTTAATCTAACAATTATAAGTTACTATTAATGGTTGTGCTTTGTTCTATTCAACCCAAGTGTTAATTATTACTTACATATGTAGTTGTGCGCGATTACATATGTATTTTTATCATTAATATTTAACTTAACTAAGCAATAAAGAATGTCTCATCCACTTTAGTACAAGATGTAATGACTGCATAGCTCCCCCTTGTGAGCACAATAAAAACAACTTTCACATCGGAGGGAAACAAGTTTTATTTATATAACCTTTAACAGTACTGTAACAAAAAGCAAAACGTGATGAATACATATTTTATTTCTAATTACAAAAGGCTACCGTGGATTTGCACAGAGCAGAAAAACAACTGTAAAAGCCAATCTGAGTGACAGAGTTAGAAAAAAGGGGCTTTCCCAGTCCCTCAATTTGAACAACCGGCGGTAGAGACATGGAACAAATTAATTGCAGAGGGAATGAGGTCATAGTGACATTCAATAGTAAATCGCCTCGAGTTATTTATATTCACTGACTGTTGGAGCTGAAAAAGGACTGTTTTCAACCATCAACAAAAGAGTATACAACGTCTGGGCTAAAAAGGTACACTGTGTAACTTTTCTGGTATGGGCCTGCCAGTTGCTTGTTTCCATGGGGATGTTATTGCTTTACCTCTAGTATTTCAATGCATGTTTTTAAAAGGTATGTTTGAGCAATAAAAACACCCAAAACTGAATAAATGCATAATTCCATATTGAAAAACAGAGGAAAAGCAAATGCCCAACCTGAAAAGTTACGCAGTGCATCCTTAAAACGCACGAGGATGCCAGTCTGGGAAAGGGGGAGTGGGAGAGTAGAGTGTGGGTGCGGTCTAGGTTTCATAGTTGGGATTTTTGCGGAGGATGACAAAGCCCTCCAGGATGGGGGTGACGGGGATGTACTCTTCAGTCGCCAGTTCCGCCCTCTCTCCGTGAGCCAGCAGCACCGGCGTGGTGTGTGTCTGGAAACCTGTGATGGCCTTTGGTTTACCGGCCTGGCCCACAACATCTACAGCCTGGAAAGAGACAGAATACCGGTACTTTAGTGCAAGTGGAAGTAGATGTGGGAAATATTGACAAAAATGAACCTCTCCAAAACTATATTAAGTTATTTTAAAAATTCATCAAGAACATGCGAAAATGTGCCTGGATATGTCTTAAGTTAAAGGTGAAGGGTCGCCCACTTGCTTGTTTCCATGGAGATGTTATTTCTTTGCCTGCAGTGTTCCACAATATGGCATTAAACTTACTAAACGGAGACCAAGTTACAGTTAAGATCTGTGCAAAGGCAAACTCGCTCTATGTCTTTATCGCTTGTATGTCTTTGCAAGTTTAGTTTTTTAGCAATAACCACCGAATAAATGCAAAATCAATACATTTTACGCATGCTGTGGAATATTTCTTTCAAATCAATAACATCTCCATGGGAACAAGCAGGTGACGAACCCTCCACCTGAACAGTTACAATGAACCTATAAAGTTTAACGCACAAAACAAGAATAAAATTAACCCCAAACATGCAGAAGTAGGAGTTTAGGAGACGACACTATCCATTTCTGTTCCACTTATTTTTAATCACCACTTTTGTGTTGGCATTTTTAATCATTTTGATTACAGACAATGTATGTATCCAGTGCTAATTAATGTACATTTCACTTTTTTTTTCATGGGCTGCTGTTTCGATGTATCTCGAAGAGTATTTTTTAGTATATTTTACTAAATTATTTTGTTACAGCTTTACAGTTTTGTTGCTTGTTCAGTGGAAGGAAACTCGTTTGTGCGACACATTTTCGCTGTTTTGATGAGTAAAATGGGTGTTTCATTTGACATTTTGCACAAGAAGTGGTTTAACAAAGACTTTTAGTATCACAGCCATGATTTTGCCATTATTTTTTACTGAACCGTATCGAATCGATTTGAAATATATCATATCAAACCAAAAGTGCACTGTATCGAAATATGTATTGTATCATGACCTATATCGAGGTATGTATCGTATCTGCAAATTCTGAATGATACCCAGCTCTAAATCCCACCCCTTCCATTAAAATATAAGCTAAATAATTATCTTTCAATTTAACAAAAAATTATATATAAAATCATACTTTTTATAGCAACAACTGCATCAAAAAGTCACTGGCAGTAAATTAGATGTACACTGTTACTAGAAGGCATTTTTAGGTTGCAACAAAAAGAAAATACCAAGAGATAAGGATGAGAATATCTACAATGGTGAGGAAACAACAAGCATAAAGTGCAACCAGCGCTGATAAGGAGAAAGTGCAATATGACAATACATTTAAACCAGTCTCTCTCAGACGTATTCAGACGATAAATACTCAATATTAAAATTTTTCATATCTCCACAACAGATGTTATATTATAATATTTGAGCCATCAAAAATAGTCATAAGCATCAGAATCAACGAAATGAAAATTATTCTATTATTTATTTATTTATATCTATTCTAATTTGTATATATATCTTTTTATAATTCTTTCTGGAATTTATATAGTACCTAAATGTTCATAAAATGATTGGGTTTCAAAGGACATCACAACATTCTATAGACAGGGTTCTCATTCTTTTTCACTGACAACATTTCAAAACCTTTCCATGACTTTTTCATGACCTAAAGTGAATTTTCCATGACTTTACGGCACCTACATGTGTAGAATTGAGCAGACTTATGGGCTAAATATGAAATATTAACTCTTTCCACTCACCTTATTGTTTGGTATTATAGTTTAACATTCAAAATCCTGTCAGTGCATTTATTGTTGTCTCTTTTAAACAAAAGACGCAAACGTTCAGAAATAATCATAAAAGCCTAATGAGAACTTAACAGCACGCTGTAGTTGTAATTTTCCAGGCCTGTAAAATGGCATTTTCAATTTCCATGACTTTTCCAGGATTTCCATGACTGTGGGAACCTTGTATAGGCCAGTATTATTAAATATAGATGGGGGCAAGCTAAAATGAATGTTGTTAAATGCAGATTTTTGTCTTGGGTCTAGTCACTAATAGAAATGATCAGGTTCAACATTTGTGATTTTATCTTTTAGATATTTCAACAAACTACAAAAGGAAATGTGGCGCTTGCTCTCCATCTGCATGTATGACATCATGTTCTAGAATCTGAAAAGCACCAATTTGTCAAATCCTGTTGTTTACCTGTCCAACTCTCACTGATACAGGAAGCGGCCTCAGCTCCTCGTCAAAGGTAACCAGCATACGTGGCTGCATGGCGGCCACCAGACCATAGAGGATGTAGTGAGATTTCCCCAGGATTACTGCAACACAAACAAGATACAGTACAATGATGGAGTACTAAAGGATCATTGGTGGAAGGTCCATCAAATGATTTTCTGTATATTGCATTGTCTGGAATGTTTCGCAGTATGGCATTAAACCTTTTTACCATGGAGGCCAAACCAGACCAAGTTACAGGTCACTTCCGTGGAGAGGCAACCCCATTCACACTCAGAATGCCTGTTTTTCTAAGTATTTTTGAGCTCTAAAATCACCTGGAACTGAATAAATGTAAGGTAGAACTATTTAATATCATACCATAACATCCCAGGCAGAGCAATGACATCCTGTATCTATCGGAACAAGCAGGTGATGGATTCCCAACCGAAAAGTTACATAGTGCACTTTTAAGACAATATGCGTGTTGGTGTCAGTGATGTAAATTACTTGAACACTAGTCTTTATTTTTCAATTCAAAACAAATACCAAAAGTGTTCAAAATGGCACCTAACAGAAACTAATTTGTAACCAAGCAGATTCAATCTAGTTTCAGGACTGCACCCATTTTTAGAAAAGTAATAGTTTGTTCTCTTTGGTTCAGTAATAATAGTTTCTTCTCTTTGGTTCAAAGAGTGTACTGGTGCACTGTGTAACTTTTCTGGTAGTGAGTCCGTCACCCGCTTGTCACCATGGATATGTTACTGCTTTGCCTTGATTATGCCTCAATATGGAAATAAACTTGGTTACCACAATGGAGACAGGTTAATAGTCAGAATTAAGGCTGCATAGTAAGAATTCATGCTTTTCAAGGAGTTGTTGAGCTATAAAACACCTATAATTGAATAAATACAAGATAGATAGGTTTAATGCCATACTCTGGAGCATTCCATGTAATTACATAACAACCAGGGTCAAACAGGTAGCAGACCCTCCACCTTAGAAGTTACACAATGCACCTTTAAATACTCACTGCTGTGAATAATTAAAATGCTCGGAATAGGTGAGGAAAATGAGGAACATATTTAGACCACAACTATTCTATTTTTATTACTTTATTTTTTATATATTATTTTTATTTGTACATACACATTCGTATAACTATACCTTATTTGGCACCTGTCTCTTGCCATTTCTGCAACTTATTTAGCATTTATTATCATTTGTGAATGAATAAAGTTTGTGTAAGTCTTAAAGCTTGGGCTCAGTCAGTGTCTTTAAAAATAACCATGACAACCGCAAAAGGTGAAAAATATTACTCACTGTTTTTGACGTCAAGGAAAGACACGAGAACAGTGAGGAGTCCAGCCACGGCCACTTGACTCATGAGCTGCCGGTCGCTGTGATACGGACACAGAGTGAGGGTGCCTTTGCCCAGATGTGTCAGGCCCTGCACACAGGAAATGGATTTAACACAATGTCTCATACTGGGGCTTTAATGCTCTTATATTATGCAAAATAGACTCCTGTGAGCTTTAAGCCATGCTATAATGTTGTTACCTCTGCAAAAACATACCTGGAGTTGTGTTTTGTTTCATTCACACATCTGTGTAACCCTTCATTATTAGTATTACTCAAACAGTGGTAGTTTTCAAGTTCACAACTTCCTTTTAGATTGGGGTGGGCAATTATTTTTTTCCATGGGGCCACATGAGAAACAGAAAATATTGTGGAGGGCTGGGCCAAAATGATTGACTCAATTCTGCATAATACTGATTGCATTTCTTTATAAAAAAGCAGTAAATAGCATTGTTTTGATGAGCTGTCAGACTGGTACAAGTTTATGTTATGACTAAGCAATGAAAAAGTGAGACAGCCTCAAAACATTATATTTTTTAAATATTTATAAAAAAAATAAAAGCAATGCAGCTTTAGTCGACGCATGAGGTAAAATTATAAAATATGTTTATTTTGTAATTCCAAATGATCTTAAACGGCCGGTCAGAGTCAGCCAAAGGACAGTATGTGTCCCCGGAGCTGGACAATGCCCAGGTTTGTTTTAGTTCATTGGAGATGCCAATTCCTGAGATGAAGTCATCCAGAAGATTCCAGTAGAATGTGTATGGGGTTTAAAAACACAGCTGAGCACATTCTGCATTATGACATGACATCACAAGGTTTGAGAGAAGAACTCCGCCTAAATCTGCAGGGTTTGTGTGTTGAACATGTGTGAATGAAACAAAACAGCTCCACATATGTTTGTGATGAGGAAACATTAGAACATAATATGGGCCCTTTAAAAGGTGCACTGCGCAACTTTTCTGGTGGAGGCGCAGCTACCTGCTCGTCTCCTTGGAGATGTTATTGCTCTGTCTAGAATGTACTGCAGGATAGATTAAACCTGTCTATCATGAGGGAGACAAGCAGGTTACAGTGCTACGCTACATTACAGGTCAGATCTGTGGAGAATTATTGTATTTCTGAGCAACAGAAACACCTATAATGAATACGTGCTAGATGTATATGTTTAATGTCATACTATGGAACATTCCAGAGAAAGCAATAACATCTCCACCAAGACAAGCAGGTGCAGAAAGGTTGCGCAATGCACCTATAATCGTTCACCTGAGGACAGCAGTTCTATAGAGAAAAAGCTCCAACGCTGCCACCCACCTGTGCCAAACGGACCATGAACAGGTTGTTGGGGTCCTTGGCGTGATACTGAGCTAGCTGTCTCAGCATGGCGGCAAGGCGGGCATTATTTGTACCTAGAAAAGAGAAAATGAGAGTTCATTTGAGTGCACCGATGCAAAAATATTTCATTTCACTTCAGAAATAGGTAATGCCGTCTTGTCTGTGTATACTAGAGGGAATTGCTCAATGTATTCATCGTGCTTTTTTCATTCACAGACAATAAAATTAATCTTTGGTTGATAAAATTATGCAAACGATAATTCAGTTAGTTTTTCTGAACCCTTTCAAGACATCCAAGGACATCTTACAAATACACTGGCAATAAAACACAGCAAAATGCATAAGCTGAGGGTAATATATGTAGGAATTTCAAGGGCCCCTATTACTCGATTTTCTAATTTATGTTATAATATTGTTTCCTGATCACAAACCTGCCTGGAGTTGTGTTTCATTTCATTCACACATGTTTAATATTAACAAAACGCAACTCCAGGTATGTTTTTGATGAAGAAACAACATTAAAACGCAGATCAGAAAGTAAGTAAGAATACAGGCCCTTTAAATTCAGTAGTCTTGTAATGAGGCCGCACTCACCACTGCCCACCATGCCCATGGCAAAGATGGAGTTGTGGGAGACCTCTGCGTCAGCGTCGTGGGAGAACTTGCTGAGCGTGTCCAGGATGTTGAGTCGAGGGTTGGAGACGGAGATGAGAGCCAGAGCTAAAGGCACCGCTCGCCTCAGAGTGGGCTCACCGTAACGAAGCTGCAACACATAACAAGAGACTAAGCTGAGGGCGAGTTGTGTAACTTTTCTGGTGGAGGGTCCATCAATTTCTTTTCTCCATGGAGATGTTATTGCTTTGTTTGGAAAGTTTCACAGTATGATGTTAAACCTTTCTATCTTCATGGAGGCCAAACCAGACCAAATTCCAGGTCAGATCTGCGGAGAGGTGACCCTGCTCAGTCAAAATGTCTGTTTTTCTAAGTATTTTTGAGCTATAACACCACTTGTAATTTAGGTAGAGGTAATTCATACTGTGGAACATTCCAGGCAGAGCAATGATGTCTCCAGACTAATGGTCTTTTTACACTTCACTTTCTTAACCTCCTTCACTGTGTGACTTTATAATGGAGGGTCTGCCACGTGCTCGTCTCCATGTAGGTGTTAGTGCTGTGCTTGAAATGTTCTATATGGTGTGCGTTTTCATGGAGACAATCAGTTGACACCACCAGGCCGATTTTTAGGTCAGGGCTTGCCAACAGTAAAAATGCATGCTTTTAAAATGTTTTTGACAATAAAAACAAATTAATAAATGCAAGATGGGTATGTTTAATGTCATTCTGTGGAATATTACAGGCAAAACAAGAACATCTTTATGGAGAAAAGAAAGCTGCAGTCTCGAGAGCTGCTATGTGGTGGTAAGCTGCTATTGTAGCTACACAGGGTTCCCACTCTTTTTCACTGACAAAATTTCTAAACTTTTCCATGACTTTTTCATGACCTAAGGTGAGTTTTCCATTACTTTACGGCACCTACATGTATAGAATTGATCAGACTTTTAGGGCTAAATATGAAATGTTAACTCTTTCCACTCACCTTATGGTTTGGGATTATAGTTTTTTTAACATTCAAAATCCTGTGAGTGCATTTATTGTCGTCCCCCTTTAAACAAAAGGCGCAGACATTCAGAAATAATAATAGCCTAATGAGAACTTAACAGAACGCTGTAGTTCCGTGAAAGAGATACTAAAATTCCATGACTTTTACAGGCCTTGAAAACTACATTTTCAAATTCCATCACTTTTTCAGGATTTCCACCGTGGGAACCCTGGGTAGAGCTTTTAACTTCATACTGTCGAACATTCCAGGCAGAGTAATGACATCTCCATAGAAACAAGCAGATGATGGACCCTTCACCAAAACAGTTATAACATGTACCTTTAAAGCTGCGTTGTCTATTATTGTTTTTTTGTAAGCGGACACAGTAATGTTTAGTTCAGTTCTCTCAAACCAAGGATGTTCTCTGCTTTGTATCAGTGAAACAAAATGATCTTTTTACACTTCACTTTCTTCCCTCCTTCACTGTGTGACTTTATAATGGAGAGTCTGCCACGTGCTTGTCTCCAAGTAGGTGTTAGTGCTGTGCTTGAAATGTTTAATGGTGTTGAGTGGATGCGTTTTCATGGAGACAATCAGCTGACACCACTAGGCCAAGTTACAGGTCAGTACTATGGAAAGACAAGCTCCCCAACCTCAACATTATCATTATTCATTCACATCACACTGGGTGGTGATAAGCCACTATTGTAGCTACAGCTGAACTGGGACAGATTGACAGAAGCGAGGCTGCCAATCTGCGCCATCAGCCCCTCCGATCACCACCAATCATTCACACACACCACTTTCATACTAGGCCCATGAATGTGGGTGAAGTATTTTGCCTAAAACAATGACAGAAATTGGCCCGAGTGGTAGTGGTGTTGTGTAGTTTACGGCTGTGCCAATCGTTCTAACCGAGAGAAGGAAAAGCGATTTTTTTAGAGTACCGAATATAGTCGTCCACAAAGGTCAGAAATGGGAAAAGCCGACAGAACAACGCCGTAAAAAGTGGATTACAAACCTGTTTGAGGTCGGGAGGAGCAGAATTCACTAATGCTTGTGTCTGCAGTGACCACTTTGTCAAAGGTTTGTTACAAAGCTAAATTGTTTTTATAGTTTAGCTAAACATAAACGAATCATTAACGACTAACGGCTAACGACGTTTGTTGACATTAAATAGCTCAGACAGAGGTTACTGCCGATACACTGCAGTTTTTCCCATAACGTCTATACACATAAAATAAGAGAAACACTCACCCCGGCGAAGACCAAACCATAATCATCATTTAGGCGTTTTGCACCAAGGTTGAGGACCCATCCACTGACAAAAAAAGTTCTATGCCTCCAAATTTTTGTACACCTTCATCTGTTGTCTGGTGTAGAACGATGTCTGAAGAGCTAAATAGTTCGTGATCTCCTCTGCCTCAATTGTCGGCAAATCTTTTACTTCGGTTGAAAATTCTCTCATTTTCAATAAGATCAGGGTCACGCCCAATATATTTGTCGACTCACTGCTCGTACTTTTGTCTTGCTACTGGCTCTAAATCCTGACAATAAGAACTCTTCTCCATATCTGTGTTCTCCAGAGCCGTGTTTGTCGTGTTTGTCTTCACTTCCTGCCCTCCACCTGAAATTCGCGCATCATCGTGATCACGTGACTGAAACCCTCCTATTGATCCTCTAGTCACTGAGCCACTTTCGCCCCTGTCCTGCCCATTTTACTCCGATTTTTCTTACATCTCTACGATAGAAGTGTTACTAACCAGATGTCCAAATGTCCGCAGGGCCATTTCGGAACCGATCTCCTCTCCCATTGCAATCAGCGCAATCCCAAGAACAGCCACGCCCTGAAAATAAAGACAGTTTAGTTTACCTGAATATTTACCTAACATAACAGGTAATCCAGTTTTCACAGACCTGGTGTGAGCCCATGTCCGCTGGCGTCTCCTTTTTATCTTTGTCCTTCTTGTCTTTCTTGTCTTTGTCGTCCTCTTTGTCTTTCTCTTTAGCTTCATAGTGCTCACTGCAGATGTGAAGCAGCTGTTGCACTTTCAGGACATTACCAGAGCCTGAAGAAAACACAAACATTATCATCTAGTTTAAATTGACGCAATATTCAATAGTTGTAAGAGTAAGTGAATTCAAAACTGACCTGCATATGCACAGATATCCACTAATGTATTTGCAAAGCTACGGAAAGGTTCTGGAACAACTTGTAGAGCTGCCAGAGTAGTCTCGATTGCCTCTCCTTTACCTGAAGATAAAACATGAATAAAATTACAATAAGAAGGCATAAATTTTGTTATGTTAATTGACAAAAGCAGCTTAGAGAGTGACTGAAACAAAACACAACTCCAGGTATTTTTGTGATGAGGAAACAACATTATAACAGATCAGAAAAAACAAATATGAGCCCTTTAAGATGGAATCAGTTCTGCTTACCGAGGTGGTTGAGTCCAAGGCCTAACGGCAGCCATCTTGCATACGTGTCCTTCAGCTCCGTCTCGTTCTTCTCCATAATGGTCTGAACGATGGTGGAGGTCACGTCGCCGTTACAAGAACCCACAGCAATCATACCGCACGCAATCGCTGTCACTCCCACTACCTATAAAAAGAGGACAGTAAAACGTACAAAAAACCTTCTTAAGTACTCTCAGAATTAGATACTAGGGACGGGACAAGACTGGGTCCACGAGAATGAAACAAGAGAACATGAGATTTTTAGATAATTTATACAGTTCAGTCCCCAATTCTAATTTTATTCTGCATTTTTGATTTTACTGCAACACTTCTAAAGGTCTTCTGAACTCTTAACACTAGGGCTGGGTATCATCAAGAAGTTCCTTTCATGGCTTTCAATATGAAGAAGTTGTCGATACGATACATATCTCGATACAGTGAGCTTTTGATTCAATACTAGTGTGTAATGATATCCAAGTCTTATGATATAATATTGGCGCGGTATGAACGTCACGATACGATATTTATTGAGATATCGTGGGAAAGCTCATGATATGGTGGGGAGGCTCACGATTAGGGATGTAACAATATCCAAATCTCTTTGTACGATATTTTCACGATATACATCTCACGGTACGATATTTATTGGGATATTTTGTGGAGGTGAACACAACTGTTGTTATGCTACTTTTTCCTCTTACAATGCCTTGACAAGACTTAATCCAAAGAACTAAGACTTAAAAGTGCTTAGAACTGTTATTTCTTCTTGTAGTCTACAATGAAATGGAGCAAAGGATCATGGTCTATGTAGTTCCCTCTGTCTTTTTTAGGTGTTGCTGCACCATAACTCTTAATTTAAGCAAAGAGACTTGTAATTTGATATACTGTGATGGTCCTCAATATTACTGTGATGAACTTTGATAAGATATCACAATATTTTGGTTATTGTTACATCCCTATTCAATATGATTTGATACAATATATTTTAAACTGATTCGATACGGTTCAATAAAAATAATGGCTAAATCAAGGCTGTGATACTAAAAGTCTTTGTTAAACCACTTCTTATGCAAAGTTCATATGAAATGTGCCCATTTAGTGAGAATGTCAAATGTGTTGCATAAATAAGTTTCCTTCCTCCAAACAACAAAACTGTACCGCTATAACAAAAAATAATTTTGTAAAATATACTCTGGACAATATAGCACTACAGCAACTGACAATATCTCTACTATATCCTCACATTAAATGTTACAATCTATTTGTATCAAATCTCACAAGATAATCAAATCTCACAAGATAATTTTCCAGATGTAGGCAGGCACATTCTAGTGGCAACTGTATCTCTCAAGATCTTGTGGTGTCAACCATGCTAGATACATTATTAGCAGAATATATAAAGGTATACGCTGTATAAAGAAGTGCACTAAGGGAGTGTGATGTCACCCACAGTGTTCAGCTCGTCAAATGAAGCTCACGATGCTAGTGTTTAGAGGATCAAATTTGGAGCCAGGTTCATATTAGAAATAGGAATTTATTTACATACAAAATGCTGAAATAAAAATGTAGAGTGGTTTATTAGGAACGCTTTAAGATCAAAATGACGAGGCTCAGTGCAGCCCTTACAGAGAGAGGGGAAACAATTTCCCAATATAAGTTCAAGTCTGTGGTTTACCTCCATGCTTGATTTGGAGTCTCCCATGACAGGAAGAAGCAGAGAGAGCACATCTTCTCGGTTTGATCCAGCGTAGGCCAACCCCAGACTAAGGATAAAAGAAAGTATTTGTTAATATTCTGCATAGAAGGACAAGCAGTTAAAGTGAAATGAATGGCAGTTGATTCTTACCCAAAGATGGCCCCTATCCTCATTGTGTTGCTGTTGTGAAGGACATAATCTGAAAGCAGGGCAAGGGCAGGGTCGCACTCATTTCTTACACCAGAGTTTACGATACCACAGGCCAGGAGAGCACCAGACTACAGGAAAAAAGAAAGTTATTAATATTTTGAAATCACAGTGTGTCCATTTATATATACTGTCTGTTAGAAATTGAAAGATTACAATTACAGTGTTGATAATCACCTTAATGTAGTCTTCAGATGAATACAGATATTTGTCTATTTGGGTCAGACCACCATCCACATCCCAGAGAAGGATCATTCCCAGTGACGCTGCAGCACTCAACATACCTACAGAGACAAAAAACACTAATTAAAATGCAGCAGTAATAATTAAATATACTAACAAAATGCCTTCACTCTTGATTGTTGCTGTATGAAACTGTCTGTGATTTGACTTTACCATGATCCTTGTTCTTATAAAGCCATTTGTTGCCGTCATCTGTGAGCAGCTTGTCTTGCCCAAAAGCGGCGTTGACAAAGCCGTTGACGAATGAAGAGGCCAGATTCATACGAGCAGAGTCCACCTGGGAGCCGCTACCACCAAATCCTGTCAAGCAAATCATAGGAATTACATTAGAGACATAGAGATGGATACTTTGAATTTCCTTTAGGATCAATAAAGTTCAGCAGCAGCAACTTAGAAACAAACAGAGCTTTAAGTCATGTCGTAATGTTGTTACCTTATCAAAAACATGTCTGGACTTGTTTTTTTTGTTTTGTTTCATTTACATGCTTGAGTAATTCTTTATAATTAGTCTGTTTACATTTCCAAAGTGGAAAATGCTCTGTTCCACCTTGTGATGTCATGTCAACAGTCAACAGCTACTTTTTACTTTTTGTTTAGTAGAGTTTGGAAATTCCATGGTTGAAATTATCCAAATGATTCTAGTGAAAGTGTGTGTAGAGCTTAAAAACAAAGTGGGGCACTTCCACCTTGTGATGACATGTGTGGTAATACAGGAACATTTATTTATTAGTATTTTGAGAGAAGAATCAGGCAGGACTGATACTGGTCTGATATACTGGTGCATCCCTAACAACACTCTTAAGTTAATGCAAGTAATAAAAAATTGTAGTCACTCACTGTTGTTTTCCAAATGTGTTTTGTAGATATCATCAGGGACTTTTGGTTCCATAATGTCCAACTATAACAAAGAAAATATGCATTTGTAAAAACAAATTGTGTATTTAAATCATCTAAAAAAAGCACTTTAAAAAAAACTTTAGTTTCATTTCAGTTTCTCACCTCTCGGGCCAAAGCCAGAAAGTTGCTGTTTAGCTGCACGTTTGACATGATTTCTGTTAGGTCCTCATAGTCCTCCACATCCTCGTTCAGCTCCAGGAACATGCCGTGACGACCGAGCATGAAGGCCAACTGTTTCTCACTTACACTGAAACAGAAATAGCACAAGAATATTACAACTTAAAAAGGTGCATTGTGTAACGTTTTTGGTGGTGGTGGTCCATCAAATGTTTTTCTCCATGGAAATATTATTGCTTTGTCTGGAAGATTTCACAGTATGGTATTAAACCTTTCCGTCATCAAAATCACCAAACCAGACCAAAATCAGATCTATGAAGAAACAACCTTGCTCAGAGTCAGAATTCACGTTTTTCTTGATATTTTTGAGCTACAAACCCACTTGTAAACGGAATAAATGTAAAATAGAGCTGTTTAATGCCATACTGTGGAAGATTCCAGGTAGAGCAATGACATATCCATAGAAACAACCAGATGACAAAACCCCAACCAAAAAGTTGTATAGACACACACGCCTTTAAAATCCATTAATAAAACTAGTACAAAAAATAGCATGTAAAAATGACTGCTCTTACATGTCTTTGCAGGATGTGAAGATGTTTTCTACCAGTTCTACGTCATTGAGCATAAGGGCCAGTCGGAGTGCCTCTGGATAACGGTTGAACTTCCTGAAGATGTTCAAGGCACATCTCAGCAACGCCGAGTTCTCTGGTTCAGGAACATAGCTCACACAGCTGAGAAAACAAGGTAGAAAATGATAAATTACCTTAGGAGAGGAGACTATAATGAGTCATTTTTGCCCTCAATGTCTAAAAACCAAACAAAAGAAATGATGATACAAAAGATACTTCATAGTAACTATATTTAATCTGTAGACAGATTTTTGATAAGTAGAGGCAAAAAGTGACATTTAGGCTACGTTCAGATTGCAGTCTGAAGTGTCCCAAATCAGATTTTTTTCGGCCCTATGCGACCTGTATTTGATCTTTCAGTCTGAGCGACACAGATCCGATTTTTATAAATGCAACTCAGGCCAATTGGATGTGTGCTCCTAAAACCGACACATATCCGATCTTTTGACATGCGACTTCAGTCTGAACGGTCAGGTTGCATTCATCCGACCTACACATCACAAATGTACACAAACTTTCTTCTCGTCAGACAAAAATTGTGTCTGACCTCCGTGTCAGTGAAGCAGAGAAGCACATATCAATCCCACCACTCTTGGCTGCGACTCTGCACCCACACGTTCTTTTCTACAGACGTTGCTGACACTGCCCCACAAAACCCCACGGCCAAAAACCTCATCCTTCTCCTTCTCAATCTCCTCCTTAAAACAAATAAGCTCTACATGTTCTGGCTCTGGTACGACAGCAGCTTTAAAATCTCCTGGTGCTCAATGCTGCGTCCATGGTTGGATGACTTCCGTAAACACTGAGCACGCTGTGTGTGACGTCATCGTGTCCTCTAAAGTTCACATTGGAGATCACATACAAGTTGCATTTAATTGAAAGTGTGAACGATCTTACAAAAAAATAAATAAATCTGATTTCACACAAAAAAAAATCCAAATTGAGCATTAAGCCCTGCAGTCTGAACGTAGCCGTTTAATCAAATAATGGTTCAAACGGCCCATAATCACGTTATTTTCTGATCAGTGTTATAGTGTTGTTTCCTCGTCAAAAAAATACCTGGAGTTGTGTTTTGTTTTGTTCATTTACACATGTTGAACACACCAACCCTGCATATTTAGGCTGAGTTCTTCTCTCAAATGGAAACTATTCAATCTGTTCCACCTTTTGATGTCATGTGGTAATACAGGAAGTGCTACACTGTGTTTTTAAACTTCATACACCTTCACTTAAATCATCTAGATCATATCATAGGAGCATACGGAATTGCCGAGCTCTACTGAACAAAAGGTAAAAAGCTGCTGGTAGGTTTCATGACATCACAAGGTGGAACAAGGCATTTTGAGCTTTGGAGATGTAGACAGACAGTCTAATACTAAAGGATTACTCAAACATGTGTGAATGAAACGAAACTCCTAGTATGTTTCTGATGAGGTAGCAATATAGTAACATGGCTTAAAGCCCACAAGAGTCAATTATGCATAATGTAGGACGTTTAAATAAAATGACTCAATTATAGTCTCAGTAAAAACCTGACCTATCTCAATTCTCAACAATCTAAGTTAAACTGCAACATACCTGGTGAGATAAAGACAGACTTTTCCATAGGCATTCTCATCGATGTAGTCCTCCAGCATGTCCAGCCTCTCGATCTCCATGAGCAGATCGCAGGCCTCGTGTTCAGCATTGTGCGCCATGTTGTACGGAACGATTTCCTTCACCAGTTTGAGCAGAGTCTCCTGTTGAGTTTTGTCATTTTCCTCCACCTCCTGCCACTCTTTAGCAACTTCACCAGCGAGATGCCTGAAAAGTGCAGCATATATGATGTAAAATACTGAAAACTAAAACTACAGGGCAATATTACAAAAAAAAGAAAGTATTATTATTGCTCTTATATGTTCTCTTTTTACAACAAATTAAAATGGCTTTCAATATGAATTTTACAGGCCTTTTCAGACTTTTACATCAGTTTCACTGAAAGAAAAAAATAGGCTGCAGAGCTGTTGAATAAAAAACAGACAGCCTTATTAATAACCATACTAGTTAAATAATAGAAATGACACAATCGCAACTAAAATACCATTAAAAGGTGCACTGTGGAGTCCATCATTTGCTTGTTTCTATGGAAATGTCATTGCTCTGTCTGGAATGTTCCACAGTATGACATTAAACAGCTTCAGTTTACATTTATTCAATTACAGATGGTTTAATAGCTCAAAAGTACCTAGAAAAACAAATATTCTGACTGAGTGCCTCTCCACAGATCTGACCTATAACTTGGTCTGGTTTGGTCTCCATGAAGATAGAAAGGTTTAATGCCATACTGTGAAATCTCCACATCTCCATGGAGAAAAGCATTTGACAGACCCTCCACCAGAAAAGTTACACAATGCACCTTTAACTATAACAGTTAAACATCCTACCTGACATATTCATGTCCCCATGAAGCCAACTCTTCTTGTGATCCCAACAGACGGTACTTGAGACACTCTCGTTCACCGCTCATGGTCATGGCCAACACGGACACGACATCAGCACAGAACCTCTGAATAAATAAAAGGAATATCAGGGACAGATCCAGACAGAACACAAGAACACTAAGCAACATTTTGTCCCTGTAGAATTATAGAGTTCCATCTGATTTTCTCAATAATCTAAAAGCATACTGTATAAAGTAGTGGACTAAGAGAGAACTATGTCCTGTCAATCAACATATTTTTGCACTGTTTTTCCTTAAGACCTCTTGTATATATAGTTGATTTTTTTATTACTTATTTTCTATTTTATTTTGACTTGTACATATACATTTATATAATTATTCATTTCCAACTCCTCCAACAAGATAACATAAAGCGGGTTAATACAAACATATTAAAACTAAAGTGACGAGCCTGATAGCAGCAGTTACAGAAAGAGGGGCAACAAGATTTCAAATTAAAGTCAATTGGAAACCAAGTGCATAGCTAAAAAAAATAAAAAATAAAAAATCCATGTACCCATTTCACTGTGCAATATTACTATAGCAGTTGAAATTTTAAACCTAAATATCAGAACTACTCATTCCACAAAGCAGTAATTTTAAGAGAACAGCTTTTAAACATAATGGCAGCCAGGATTTTCAGACAGCAGATTTTGAGTATCTTTGGAGCCTCACCTTGTTCTCTCCAGCAGCCATGCCATCATATATTTCTTTGAGTTTGCCATAGTGAGGGCGAAGGAATTTCAGGGGCTTGGGGACCGAAGTCATAGAGGTGGTCGACGAGCGGATCTGTCTGCGCAGCTCCTCCAACGCAGGTTTATACAAGGCTGTGTTCTTTTTCCTGGAGATTAAAAAAGAAAAGTATTTGTTTAAGTGACATTATAAACATGTGCGATAAAAATGGCTGAAGTTTAAATACTTACACTCAGTCTCTCAACCATCATTTCCAGATCTTCTTGCAACTGCTTGTCCTCTTCAGACTGAAAGAGAAGGTCAATTTTCTATTTAATTACAAAATAATATGACTGCTGATTGCTTAGATTCTAAGGTGAACAGATTTTCAAAATAAAAACTGGGGCATCCCTGATTTGTGGTGGTTGGTCATAATAAAATTGTTAAACGAGTGTGTAATTAAGGAACATTGTTCTGCACTCGACACTAATGTGCATCAGTATAGTCATATTTTCTTTGTGTTTTGGTCATTTTTAATTAGCTTTTCTGTATTTTACCTAAACAAATGACAATGTATGCCTCTCTTTACTGTTGACAGGGATTAGACTGGTCAAAAATAGGGACACTTGGAATATTTTTGTGTGTAAAACTGGGTCAGATCATGATTTTGTATAAATCTGCTGGGACGCATGGTCAGTCTATTAAGAGTCATTTATTTATTGCATACTGACATTACCATTTAATGATCAAAATGATAATTATGGACACCACTAAGTTAACAAAACGTGTGATTTGTTAACCAAAATGTCTTATTATATTGTTATAAACGCTTTTCTTCTGCAGTTAGGTTGACCAGACGTCCCTATTTACCTGAGACAATCCCAGTTCTGAGCCTGTGTCCCCTGTCCCAGCAGATTTATACAAAACCTGTGATTTGTCCCGGTTTTATAAAAGAAATGTCCCAGGTGTCCCTATTTTTGACTAGTTTGATTTGAAGAGATGCATACATTGATTAGGCATCAACTGATTAGGTAAAATACATAAAAACTGCTTAAACATAACCAAAACACCAAGAAAATTTAACTATACTGACACATGGTCGAACGCATAACAATTTTCCTTAATTAGGCACTCGATTCACAATTTTATTATTACCAACCACCAAAAACCCGGGGTGTCCCAAATTTTAATTTTGCAAATCTGGTCACCCTATCTGCAGTGTTCCTGTTGTGCTGCTGTGTCATACACTTTGACCAGTAGCTCAAATGCTAACAACGCCGCCGTTTTCCCAGCAAACACAACGGGGACAACAAGTAGCATGCTACTATTAGCCGACCGGCTCAGTTAGCATGGATTAAAACATTACAAAAGCATTCATAACACACATGTCAAATATATAGACAGTGAAAATAAACTGCGGATTTGTATATGAGCCTGTAAGGACTTTGAAAATGATAGATTGAGAACAGTGATCACATAATTGAGGCCGGGTAAAGCTGTGCTGCTGTCAGAGCCGCAGTGACTAAGGCAAATACGACAACAGGCGGCGAGTGAACGAGTCCAAAACACTCCACATTACCAGTTCTTGCTCCTCTTTCTTGTCCTTATCCTTCCCAGAGGCCTGCTGCCCCTTCTCCTTGTCCTTGTCCTTTTCATCGGTCTTATCAGTGGGTTTATTTTCTTTGTTTTTGGCCTCTTCCATGGCTGCAAATGTATGAAAGTATCAGCGGACGAATGAACTGAGTTGACAGGAAACCGCTCTTCTTCACGACTAAAAAAAAAAACTGCGTCCGGTGTTATTTAGTGCCCCCTCTGGCGGCACACACAAGCAACGATTCAACTCGCGCTATATTATATTATTATTATAATTATTATATTATGTTGTATATTATTATTATTATTATTATTATTATTATTATTATTAGTAGTAGTAGTAGTAGTAGTAGTAGTAGTAGTAGTAGTAGTAGTAGTAGTAGTAGTATTGCTGGGTTTCAGATCACATCACAACATTCTATAGACCAATATTAATTAATACGGTGGGGGTTAGCTAAAATTATTATTGATGAAATGCAGATTTGTTTTGTAATACAGTGAGTTGTTTGTTAGTGGTCAGTCGTAGAAATTATCAGGTTCAGCATTTGTGCATTTATTTTTTAGATATGTAATGGCAAAGTACAATGTAATAAAAAAAAAAAAAAAAAAAAAAAAAAAAAAAAAAACTGTCCCTTGCCCCCCATCTGAGAGTATGACATCATTATGTTCTGGAATATGAAAGCTACCAATTAACAATAATAAAAGAAAAGAAAGAAGGGAGGAAGAAATAGAACATACCTTTAAAATTATACTGTAAGATTGTAGTAAAAAGTTTTTTTTGTTTGTTTGTTTGTTTTTTTTTAGTTTTTTTTTTTAGATTTTTGTTTTTATGTTTTTATGTTTATTATTTTATTTTCATAAATGATATATACTACTGTCTTTAATTTTTTTTAAAAGAAAGAAAAAAATCGCGGTATGGCATATTGTTTATACAGTTAAACTGCTCAGCACAATCTGTATTTAAAAATCCCATTCTAATTATATACAGTAATATCAAGTGCGAGTTGGAGATTTAGTTAAACCTAGTAACATTGTTTAATAATATTGAGAATTTGAGTCATAAAATAAAATTAGACATGGGCAATTGTGTCAAACGTTATATTCACACACTTTAAAGGTTAATTGCTTTATTTTACGTCGAAAAGGGTAATCATTCTCTCAAAGCGTTTAGAATACCGACTGTCTTTAAAAGCAGCACTGGTGAACTTGTCATGTGACCACTTTTAAATCACATGCTCTTTTTCCTTCCAGTTTCACTTGCAAACATGGCTTTACACTCGGGGTTTTTCGTTCTTTGCAAAATACTGTTTCTGTTTTCTGCCTTCGCTTTAGCAAATGGACATAAAGGATTTGAAAAGTTTTTGCAAAAACGTCTCAGCTTCCACAAACCTGAGGCCAAGGAGCAGTGGTTCATTCAGAAACTGGATCATTTCAATGGTCAGGAAAGCAGAGTCTGGAAACAGGTACGATGCAAAAAACAAAATTATGTGCGCAATAGACTGTAAAGGTATCTAAAGCTACAGTATATACTTTTTTTTTCTGGTTGAGATTGTTTTAGGCATTTAAAGCTGCAGTGTGTAACTTTTTTCAGGTTGAGGTTGATCTTTGACAGTAAAAACATTTAAAGAAGTGTGACCAGGTGCCCCAAATTACTCGGGACAGTCCCAGTTTTGAGCCCTGTGTCCCCTGTCCCAGCAGATTTATCCAAAACCAGTGATTTGTCCCAGTTCAAAACAAGAAATGTCCCAGCTGTCTCTGTTTTTGACCAATTTGATACCTGCCAACAGTAACAAAAAATAAAAATAAAAGGCATAAACTCTCATTTGTTTTGGTAAAATACAGAAAAACTGCTTAAAAATGGCCAAAACACACAAAAAACTGTGACTCTACTGACTCACATGTTCATTTTTTTCCTTAATTATGCACTCGAGTCACAATTTTATTATTATCAACCACCAAAAAAAAAACGGGGATGTCCCAGTTTTTTATATTGAAATTCTGGTCTGGTTTAAAGCTACAATATATGACTTTTTTTTTCTGGTTGAGATTCTTCTTACCTAAAATGTCTATAGTAGAACAACCAGGTAAGAATAAGTTACACAACAGGTCAGATCTGTGGAGAAGTAGTAATGCATGTTCTTCACAGTATTTTTAAGTAATAGAAACACATGTAATTGAATAAATGCAAGAGAAGTTTAATGTCATGCTGCGGAACTTTCCAGGCAAACCTATAACATCTCCATGGAAACAGCAGGAGGCAGATTAGACCAGAGAAGTGGCATACTTTGCACCTTTTAATGCTGTATTCAGAAGTAACAAACAGCAACCACAAAATGATTGTTTAGATGACAGAATATCCAGAACTGTTTTATTGAAAAGTGAGAAGTGAATGGCTTTTTGTTTATGTTTACTCAGAAAAAAACAAAACAGAAAATAAATGCCATTAATTTGCATAATCTGTCCCTTTTATCTTTATTAGGGTTTTATTTAGTTTCATTTATTTAAAACAATGCATATTCATGAACATACACTTGTAAATATGTCAGAATTAGTCTGAAGTCTACTTTTCATCTGTATTTCCTGGCAGTCAAGAGAGACATAAGACATAAGAACATAAGACACGTCACACAATGGTAGAAACAGCACAATAAGACACAATCATGACATACAACACTGACATTTACACAGAAGCATAACATTAGTGGTTACAGATCTGGTTCCTCTTAAGCCATCGTTTCAGATGGTTTTAAATGTACTGAATGTGGTGGAGTTTCTTATTGCAGCTGGGATGTTGTTCCAGATTTGACTTGACTGATAACACCTGCTGATTATAAGATATTGCACAGTCGCCTCTGGTACAGGCTCTTGTTCCCCGACCACTAGTGCTGGACTTGGGCAGAATGAACTCACCCAGAGGTGGTGCAGTGACTCCATTTAAGATCTTATATACTAAGCAGGCGAGTTAAAATTTTCTAAAATTTCCAAAACTTAAGATATGATATTTCTGAAGTATGAGACAGTGATGAAAAGATAAAGATTTTCTGTTGAATATGTCAACAGGAACATTGTGTAATGCACTATTCAATGTGAGAAAAAATCATGCTGTGAAGAAACATTTTAGCTGCATTTTCTGACAATGAGGATCTAATTTGCCTAAAGTTGTGAATATTAAATTTAAGAAACGTATTAACAAATTAAATAGGAAATTGTGGGTCCAGCACCTTCTTGCTTCTATGTATATGTCATTGCTCTGCCTGGAATGTTCCGCAGTATGACATTAAACAGCTCTAACTTACATTTATTCAATTATACATGGTTTTATAGCTCGGAAATACCTTGATAAACAGGCACTCTGACTGTGAGCGGGGTTGCCTCTCCGCAGATCTGACCTGTAACTCGGTCTGGTTTGGTCTCAATGAATACCTTAAAACATTCCAGACAAAGCAATAACATCTCCACCAGAAAAGTTACACAATGCACCTTTTAATCATCAGTAATATATTGCAAATAGATATATAAACTCAACATAAATCTCTTCTGATGTAATCTTTGTAACTGTTTTGTTTTTTTTGCAGAGATATTTTGTGAATGACACCTTTGCTCAGCCTGATGGTCCGGTGTTTTTAATGATCGGGGGAGAGGGCCCGGCCAGCCCTGCCTGGATGGACCACGGCACCTGGCTCACCTACGCCGAGAAACTGGGCGCGCTCTGCTTTATGCTGGAGCACCGCTTTTATGGGAAAAGTCATCCAACACTGTAAGTCTGTTTTAAGAAATATACAGTAGTGTGTCCTAATCCAAATAGATTCATAGAGGAAAGTCTTAAAGGGCCCACTTTTATGCCCTTGTCATCACAAACGTACATGGACTCGTGTTTTGTTTCAGTCAATTTCACGTAATATAGGACCTTTTTTAATAATAAAAACTATATAAGATTCTTTGACTAGATTTGGTTTTGGTTTGGCCCCAGTTTGCTTGTCGACTTGGTGTGGTCATCTTCTAGTTCTGGTTTAGTTCTAGTCTCAGTTTAGTTCCCTTTTTAGTTGTAGTTGTTTGAGTTCTAGTAGTTGTCTGAATTCTAGAAGCTTTCCAGTACAACAATCTGCTGAATATTATATAGAAAAAGTAATAAACGGAATTTAAAGAACAACTTAATTTGTCAGAAATCTGCAGAGGTGAGACCAAGTCTTTGTTTTGCAAGTAAGTCTAAAGACCTCAAGTCCCAGTCAAATCCCAGTCAAGTCCCAAGTCAAATACAGGCAAGGCCAAATCGAGTCTCGAGTCACTGGCCCATAATTCCAAGTCAAGTCCAAGTCATCTGCTTTGAGCTTCAAGTCATTTCAAGTCTTTAAACCAAAGTAGCTTAGATTTTTGCAATTTTATATAACTTTTAAGATAAATTGTACTTACAAAATCATAGTATATGTATGTATTAGTATTTACAGAGTTGTAGAAATGTATTTAGTTAATTTTTCCTTTTTAAATGTCTTGACAAGATCTTAGTGTGAATTATTATGGTCAGAATAGAATTCAGATTTAAAAATGCTTCTCAAGTCACAGGCCTCAAGTTCGAGTTAAGTCCCAAGTCACTGACCTTCAAATCCAAGTCGAGTCCCAAGTCTTAGTCCATTTTATCAAGTCAAGTCTCAAATCCTAAAAATAGTGACTCAAATCCAAGTCACATCAAGTCCCCTACCTCTGGAAATCTGTAATGTTATAAATTGGCCACTAGATGGAGCCATTCTCTCAAAGGTCAGTATACAGTATGTGGGATTATTCTTAGAGTTCATAAACATTTAACATTGGTTAATTCATTCAATAAACCTAAAAGTGCTCTCTTTAAGAAGGACTTGAGGCATCCTTTGTACATGACTGCTAATTGTGTACTGATCTAGATTCATCTGTGATTACTATATTATTTCATTGTCAAAAGTATTGAAAATCAGGAACGAATCAATGCTAAAACTAATATTGAAACTAGATACTCATTTGAGCAGGTATCTGTACTGCAACAAATCTTTAACAGGATAAAATTTGTGCTTTCCTGAACAGTTTTAGTGTCATTTGAACTTTGACCTTGTATAAGACTTCATGGTAACATAAAGAAAGTGCTATTATTTTGTGTATCCATCTGAGGTGAGGGCTTGCAAGTTGTGACAAGGACTCGCGTCAGACTTGAGTCACTATTTTTAGGACTTGAGACTTGACTTGATAAAATGGACTAAGACTTGGGACTCGACTTGGACTTGAAGGTCAGTGACTTGGGACTTGACTCGGACTTGAGGCCTGTGACTTGAGAAGACTTGAAGCACCTTTAAATATGAGTTCTTTCTGTTCTGACTGTAATGATTCACACTAAGATCTTATCAAGACATTTAAAAAGGAAAAAATAACCCTTTTCTACAACTCTTATACTTATATATAAATATACCATGACTTTTTAAGTACAATTTATCTTAATATTCTTATAAATTGCAAAAATCTAACCTATATTTGGTACTTTGGTTTAAGGACTTGAAATGACTTGAAGCTCAAACCAGTCAACTTGGACTTGACTTGGACTTATGGGCCAGTGACTCGAGACTCGACTTGGACTTGCCTGTATTTGACTTGGGACTTGACTCGGACTTGAGGTCAAAGACTTGAGATTTACTTGAAACTTGCAAACCAAAGACTTGGTTCCACCTCTGGTATCCATCCATCCATTTTCTTCCTCTTATCTGGGGCCAGGTCACGGGGGCAACAGTCTAAGCGGGGACTCGGGGACTTCCCACACCCCAGACACTTCCCCCAGGTCCTCCAGTGAGACCCTAGGGCGTTCCCAGGCCAGCCTCGAGACATAGTCCCTCCTGTGTGTCCTTGGTCTTTCGTGGGGCCTCCTCTTGGTGGGACATGAACACCTCCCCAGGGAGACGTCCAGGATTCAGCTACTCTGCTCCGAGCTCCTCCTGTGTTATTTTGTGTATTATGTGTATTACATTCTGTTATAAAAAAGCAACATGTTTTATCTTCATTGCGGTATCATAAATGGTATTGAGTATTGAGTGTATTTGTTAGTATCAAAATCAAGTTTGAAATTTAATATCCTGACAACAACACTATTTCATCACTTTCAGACATGTTAGAATGTTGTTATTTCCTCAAAAACAGACCTGGAGTTGTGTTTTGCTTCATTCACGCATGTTTGAGTAATCCTTTATTAGTCCGTCTGTGTGTAGAAGTTTTCAAGTTACCTTTTACCTTGTCTTAAATAGAGGTTGGTAATTCCAGGGCTGAAATGATCCAAATGATTCAAATGAAGGTGTATAGTACGGAAGCCGAGAGGGGTCACAACAAACGCAAACGCCGCAACAAATACAAATGCGACAACACAACAAAAAGCCACAACAAACCAAAAAAAGCCACAACGGAAATGACCGCAGGACTCTATTTTAATGCAAACGCCGCAACAACACAAACGCAAATGCCACAACACATTAAAAAGCCACAATGGAAGTGACCGCGGGACTCTATTTTCCGACGGACCGATCAAGCGACAAGTGAAGAAGAAGAACTACAACGTGAAACGAATAATGATAAAACAATAAATTACTTTTGTTTACGTTTCCAACTTCTCTTCCTTTAGTGAAGAAGTGAAGAAGAAGAACTACAACCTGAAGAAGAACTACAACCTGAAAACGTTGTAGTTCTTCTTCTTCACTTGCCGCTTGATCGGTCCGTTGGAAAATAGAGTCCTGCGGTCACTTCCGTTGTGGCTTTTTAATGTGTTGTGGCTTTTTAATGTGTTGTGGCTTTTTAATGTGTTGCGGCATTTGCGTTTGTGTTGTCGCGTTTGTATTTGTTGGGGCGTTTGCATTAAAATAGTCATTTCTGTTGTGGCTTTTTTTGGTGTGTTGTGGCTTTTTTTTTGTGTTGTCGCATTTGTGTTTGTTGTGCCCCCTCTCGGCTTCCATAGTATAGAGTTTAAAAACACAGTGGAACTTTTCTTATATGACATGACATCAGAAGCAGAGTTGAGCAGAGTGTTTTCAGTTTGAGAGAAGAACAAAGATAAGAACTAAGAAAATTTCAGTCCTGGAATTCTTCTAGGAATCTCTGCTGAACTAAAGGTCAAAAGTAATTTAACTTGAAAACTACCACTACATGACATCACAAGGTGGAAGCATGACTTAAAACTCACAAGAGTCAGTTTTGCGTAATACGGGAGTTTTTAAATTGTCCTAACAAATAATGACAGTAGCCCACCCTTTTACAGAAACTCATTCTATGGCTTCGAGATGAATCACTGTTGAATTACAAGTTTAATGAAAGTGATTACCAAATCAACCGCAAATTTTCAAGTACCGTAATTTCCTTCACAACCAACAAAGTCTCCTGTCTTATTCTGCATTAAACTGCTAACACTTAACATCTGTGCAAACGTGTTCTGAAATGTGATTCTTGTGTTCATTTGTCAGTTCAGATTTCAGTCTTTTTGTTAATTATTTTGGACGTGTTTAAAATGTGAACTATGAACAGAATCCTATTATTAAAGGTGCATTGTGTAGCTTTTGTAGCGGAGGGTCCGTCAAATGCTTTTCTCCATGGAGATGTTTTTGCTTTGTCTCGAATGTTTCACAGTATGGTATTAAACCTTTCTATCTTCATGGAAACCAAACCAGACCAAGTTACAGGTCAGATCTGTGGAGAGGCGACCCCGCTCACAGTCAGAATGTATGTTTTTCGAGGTATTTTTGAGCTATAAAACCATCTGTAATTGAATAAATGTAAAGTAGAGCTGTTTAATGTCACACTGTGGAACATTCCAGGCAGAGCAACGATATATCCGTAGAAATGAGCAGGTGACGGACCCCCAAACGAAAAGTTACACAGTGCGCATTTAAAACATTTATCTAATTCAGGCATGTCCAAACTATGGTCCGTGGGCCAAATGAAGCCCTCCAACAAATTTTTCTTGGCCCTCAGGCTTCCAGGTGAAATGGCCCAAATTACCTTGCATCAATTAAAAATTTGCGTTTTACTGCAAGTTTTTTTTTGAAAATCTACCTTGATAAAGCTAATATTTAATATTTGGTGTGTGGTTTTACGGATCTTGGCATGAATAAAGACTGATGGCTCATTCTAACGTGTTAAACATGCACATATTTCAATTATTCACTGTATTGAGCTCCAGTCTACGGCCCTCGATCAGCCCTTTGCTTCATCTGTGTTTAGACATGTGGCCCTTGATGAAAAAAGTTTGGACACCCCTGATCTAATTGCAAAGCTTGTCAGAAAAATTGCAATTTCAGATATTTTCCAAATATTTACCACAACACAAAAGCCTAAATGTGCAGGTTTGCGTGTTAAACGTGAAACAAAACACAACTCCAGGTCTGTTTGTGATGAGGAAACAACATTATAACATAGATCAGAATAATAAAGGATTGGGGTGTAACGATATCCAAGTGTTACGATACGATATCGTCACAGTATGAACCTCACGGTACAATATTTAATGCGATATCATGCAAAAAACTCATGATATGGTGGGGAGGCTCACGATTAGGGATGCAACAATATCCAAATCTCTCTGTATGATTTTTTCCTGATATACATCTCTCATTGTCTATGTACCGTATTTTCTGCACTATAGCGCGCTATGGATTATAAGGCTCACTGTCATTTAATGGTCTATTTTCAAACTTTTTTCACATATAAACCGCACCGGAATATAAGACGCATTAAATGAAACACAACAGTAAGATAAGTCAGTCAAACTTTATTTAACGCGTTCACAATAACTCTCAACTTTGTTCAATTGTAACGCGTAAAAAAAATACTGTCTGAGATGCTAAATTGTTCAAGTATTCACAATAACTCATAAACATTCAAACAGTTGGGCGATTATGCCGTCCAGCATGCCCACATCCCTCTCGTCATTATCCGAGTCAGTGTGGTTACTGTTCCCTGCAGTTCAGTGATGATTCTGGTCTTGGTGAAAGCTCGGACCACAGTTAATACTGATCCTTAGCCCAGACGTCCATGAACCATTGGCAGATCGTGGCGTAAGTCGCTCAGCGCTGTCTCCCTGTCTTGGTGAATGTGTGTTCTCCTTTTCTCATCCACTGCTTCCAACTCTTTGTAACTCGCAACTTTGTAGTTTACTAAAGTCGATATCACAATATTTCAGTTATTGTTACATCCCTAATAAAGCATAATATAAGCCCTTTAAAACCCATGTTATTACCTTTTAAAGTAAAGCCTCTCCCTTTGTCGTTGCAGTGACCTGAGCACAGACAGCCTGCGTTTCTTGAGCAGCAGACAGGCCCTGGCAGACCTGGCCCACTTCAGGACAGAGATGGCAGAGACTTGGGGGCTGAGTGACAGGAAGTGGGTGGCATTCGGAGGCTCTTACCCAGGGTCCCTCGCTACCTGGTTCAGACTGAAGTATCCACACCTCGTCCACGCCTCTGTGGCCACCAGCGCACCTGTCCATGCCCAAGTCAACTTCCCAGGTAAAAGGACAGCTGATAGGAAACTAGATTTAATAAAAATTTAAACAATTATCCATATTTAAAGGTCCTATATTATGCAAACGTTTTTTTCACTTAGTCACTTTCACTTTTTGTTGAAAATCCAACTCCTAAACAGGATGAAGAACTCCCTTAGTGATCACAGGCTCCTGAAAATGTGCTGTTTAAATCCATTTTGTGTTTTTTCTTCATTTTTCGTACTTTTTTCGTATCTTAAAATGTTTTTGGTAGTGTTTGCTGATGTGTGCATTGTGTCTCCACGGTAACGTCCAAGCATTCCACCATAGAGATGCATGTAGAACACCCCTAGTGTGATGTCACTGCAAAGTATCAGTAGCAGAATGAACATTTGCAAATTTGAAAAAGTCCGTACATCATGCAACAATCTAACTTCCAATGCGAGGAAGTTAACAGAAAACTCAATTAAATTTCAAAATAAATGTGCACACATCAAAAATTTAAATGATTCACATTTTATTTGATATTAATCACTGGTAAAAGTCAAATTTTTACTTGTTGTCCTAACTTTTGACACGCTCAGGCCCAGAGATCTGTTAGTCATAGCTATTGCATAAAAGCTCTTCCCCTGACAATAATACACACTATCCATGATTTTGCAAAAGGGAATTTTGGACTTTCCCTGACTCATCCTGTTACAAAATGGTATTCCACTTGCTTTGTTTATTGAAATTCACTTAATATTTATACCGTGGTTCTCAGATTGTGTAATGAGTTCACCTGCTGTTTCTTATTTCTGTCTCTTCAGTGGTTCTGTTTGTCTTGGCTTGGGTTTGAGTCCTGTGATCATATCATTTATCCTACTATATTGTTCTAACTTGTCTACTGTGTTTTCTAGCATCTTAATCTTTTTATCCTTCTCTCTATTAAAGAGTTGCAAAGCTTTCACATCATCTGCTAGTCTCGTTACTTCTTTTTGCTGTCGAATGACATCAGAAGCCCTCTCAGTCAGCATGTCCAATGGTTTTTATTGATTTATTTTTTATGTCTTCAAAATCCTCTGCAGTCACTGTGCTTTTTTTGGTGGTATGGTTTGTTATGCACAGTAAAATACCACACCAAAGACTCTAGAGAGGAGTAGTTCAGTTACTCACAGAGCAGTCGAGTCACTGAATACAAATAGTTGCAGTGGTGATGAAGCAGCAGGTGTAGTATCTGTAGCACACTGTCTCCTTAAGGCAGTGTGTACACAATCTGATCATAAAGAACTAACTCAGCTGGAACTACTACAAACAAGTCTCTGACTTTTAAATGTACAGTCACATGTTAGTTATTGATCACTGGCTCCAGAAAATGGGTTTGAATCCATTCTGTCTTTTTTTTCTTGAGTTTTCAGACCATATTAAAATTTAGTTGAGTGTTTGCTAATGTGTGGATTGTCATATACTGGAGATGATCTGCTGTGATATATATCTGATATGACTGTGTGTGCATTTGGGGCAAGAAGGTTTTCAATAATTAATAGACAGAGACAAGACAAGTTTCTTTGTACAGTAAAGCACAATTCGTACGTTCAAAGTGCTTAGCAGAATATGAAGGCTAAATACTCTAGTCTTGAAACAAATGAGACATGAGGAGTACAAACTGAAACTGAAACTGAACTATAATTTCAGTTTCAGTTGCTATTACCCAAATTGAAATTGCCCAAAATAAGTAAATACAAATATTACAAAAGCCTCCATTAAGCAGCTTTAGGTATATCGTCAGTTATGTAATTCTGGCCATTTTAACCCTAAAAAAAAGGCCAGATCACCACTCCCTGACTATGCTTTGTAGTATTCCGAGAAAAAAAAAGAATCAGACTCATGACTTGGACTCGAGTCAGACTTGAGTCACTATTTTTAGGACTTGAAACTTGGCTTGATAAAATTGGACTAAGAGTTGGGACTTGACTCGGACTTGAGAAGCACTTTTAAATTTAAATGAATTTGTTCTGTTTTTATCGTAATGATTCACTCTAAGATCTTTTTAAAGATTTTTTTTAAGTACAATTTATCTTAAAATTCATATAAGTAAAAAAAAAAATCAATCAGCTATATTTGGTACTTCGGTTTAAAAACTTGAAATGACATGAAGCCTAAAGCAGTCAACTTGGACTTGACTTGAACTTATGGGTCAGTGACTCGAGACTCGACTTGGACTTGCCTGTCTTTAACTTGGGACTTGACTTGGACTTGAAGTTTCTTTGTTTTGTTTGTTTGTTTTTTATTTAGATCCCCATTAGCTACTGAAAAACAGCAACTATTCTTCCAGGTGTCAGTGGCAGTCTATAAATGCATTTTTTTCTACAGGAAAACAGGATGTACATGCCCCACATTCACACAGGTCAAAGACTTGAAACTTACTTGAGACTTGCAAAACAACGACTTGGTCCCACCTCTGCTACAAAGGCATTTCAACTGTTGTGTATGTTTTGCAGAGTATCTGGAGGTCGTGAGAAGATCCTTGGCCTCAGAGAATGCAAACTGCCCCCTGCTGGTCAAACAAGCCTCAGACACTCTGGTGAAGCTCCTGAAGGACCCCACAACCTACGACAACATCACCAAGGATTTCAAGTACAGTTCACACTCAGTATTTCAACATTTGTGTCCGTTTTGATTTCCTAATTTCATCCAAGGCTCAGAGAAATCTATGTTTACAAACCTTGGAAAATAATTTTAGACCACAAGGACATTCACACTGTTCATATCAGACACTAACTATGCCCTCAGTGTCCTTGTTTATATAAATGTCTTTTAGCTGAACCATGAAAAGCTATGAAAAATTTTATTATAACACTCATGGCAAACAGCTCTATAATCTTAAAGGTTCTATATTACGCAAAATTGACTCTTGTGAACTTTTAGTCATATTAGAATGTCATTACCTCCTCAAAACATATCTGGAGTTGTGTTTTGTGTTTCATTCACATGTTTGAATAACTCTTTATTATTAGTCTGTCTACATCTCCAAAGCTCTAAATGCTCTCTTCCACCTTGTGATGTCTTGAAGTAGTAGTTTTAAAGGTTAAGTTAAAGGGACAGTCCAGAATTTTGGACATAGGACCTCATTTCCTAGTGAGTGTTGGAGACGTGTGGAGACACTTTTTTAAATATTCCATCCAGTCCTGGTATTTGCAGAGGTCGCCGGTGCTAGGCTAGTGCATGTCAATGGCCATAGTTCTCCTGCCACTAAAAACTTAACCACTCCACAAAACACATGAAGCAAATCTATTATTACACCAGACTGTCCATGTGAATGTCTGTGTTGATAGAATAATTTTAGAAGTATAATCAGCCTTGCATTTGAAGGATTTATGTCTGAGCTGCAGCAGCGAGTTGTACTTCCTGATAGAAAGCTTGGCAGCGGCGGACTGTTATATGAGGAAATAGTCCTTCAACATGTGACTATTCATGCGATACAAGGCTAGTTTTATTTCAAACATTATTCTATCAACACAGACATTCACATGGACAGTCTGGTGTAATAATAGATTTGTTTCGGGTGTTTTGTGGAGTGGGTAAGACTGTTTTTAGTGGCAGGATAAGTATGGCCATTGACATGCACTAGCCGAGCACCAGTGACCTCTGCAAATACCAGGACTGGATGGAATATTTCAAAAAGTGTCTCCACACGTCTCCAACACTCTGGCTCACTAGAAAATGAGGTCCTATGTCCAAAATTCCGGACTGTCCCTTTAACAGCTCCTTTTACCTTTTAGTTCAGTAGAGATGAGCAATTCCAGGACTGAAATAATCCAAATTATTGTAGTGAAGGTTTGAAAACACAGTGGAGCACTTCCTTGGATTTAGACTTAGACTTAGATTTAGAACAATTTTATTGATCTACAAAGGAAATTACTTGAACACAGTAGCTCACACATCACATTATATTACAATAATAAAGAGTAAAAAATATAAAAAATGGTAATAAACTTCTAAATAAGTAGCAATAAAAATAGCTAGAGACTTGTATCAATAAGACATAAATTATATAAATGTATGTACAGTAAGTAAAAAACAAATACCGTAATATAATTAAAGTATATCACAGTTATATACAAGAGGTCGTAAGGAAACAGTGCAAGTTCCTGTATCACCACATGACATGACAAGGTGGAACAGAGTGTTTTTAGCTTGAGAGAAGAACTCAGGGTAAATGTGCAGGGTTTGTGTGTTAAACGTGTGAATGAAACAAAACACAACTCCAGGTCTGTTTGTGATGAGGAAACAACATTTGAACAGAGCAATGTTGTTTTGAGTTGGAAATGTCGCAACATGTCTGGAGAAACATCAGCGCAATGACGTTTCCATCACTATCTCTATCATGTAGTTTGCAGAAAACACTGATATGCTTTCGAAACGGTGTTAGGAAATATACAAAGCTCCTGAGTTTTGGGGTATTTCTTCATAACTGGTTTAGCTCATAGACTACCATATTTTCCACACTATTAGTCGCTCTGGATTATAAGGCGCACTGTCATTAAATGGTCTATTTTCATACTTCACAAATAAACTGCACCAGACTTTAAATGAAACACAACAGTTGGATGGGTCAGTGGGACTTTGTTTGGTGCGTTCACGGTGACTCTGGGCTTTGTTCAGTTGTGGCGTGTAGGGAGGGTGCTGTCTGGGACCACTGGATTGTCGGCGTGTTCGCAGTGACTCAGTTGTTTAGTTGTGTCTAGAAGTGGCACATTGCACTCGCTTTTTCGGTTCGTTCCTCCGTTCTGTTCCTCGTCGGCGTGGAGTGGTGTGTGTGTCTGTGGGTGTTTTTGGCTGTGTGGTCGCTGTCTGCTCCGTGTGTGTTTGCGTGTGCTGCGGGTGGTGCGCCTTTGTAGTTTACTTAAGTCGTGCTGGGACACCCAAGTAGATTCGTGTATAGGGCGCTCTGGATTCTGGGACGCGCGGCCATTTTTTGGGGGGTTGGAGTGAAGAGTGCGCCCTATAGTCCAGAAAATACGGTATATAAACAAATGGATTAAGAAAGTGTAACGTCACCCATAGTGTTCAACTCCAGTCAAATGAAGCTCATGAGGCTGGCAGTTATAGGAGTAAATTTGGAGTCAGTTCCATAGGAGAAATAGGAATGTATTTACAGACCAAAGAATGAAATAAAAACACCAGGATCATGTAGAGCAGGTTAATACGAACATTTTAAGACAAAGATGGTAGATACAGAGAGGGGTGACACTTTTTCAATATACTGTAGTCATTTGGAGCCTGAAGCCCCCCATGAACACTTCCTGTTTGGAGTGCAGTGGCTAGCAGGTTTAGCCAGGCTGGTGCCACCTAGTGCCTCCACTCAATTTCATTTCTCTCCAGCGACAAGGTCAGGAATCAGAATACTCCTTACCTCCCTGATACTTTTAATGCATCACATCCAACTTTTTAATGCATCACAAGTCAACCAGGGATGAATGTGGGTTCATGTGTGTGCAGGCTTGTGTGTATGTGGATGTGTGTGTACATCCCTGTGCAGGCAGGTGTGTGCATGCATGTGTGTGTTGAGTGTATGCATATGTACATATATATCAGGGAGGGGGAGCATTTCAGACCAGGATTTGTTCGTCAAGGGGCTGGCCGACCTGGTTGGCGGGCAGTTGCATGCAAGGCCCTTGGGGGTGGCCCCCGCATCCTGCCATGGGGGGCATGGGCGTGGCTCGGCCTGCTCCATCCAACCTGAGTGGGGATGTGAGACAAAGCTCCAACACATACTTAACTTATTTTCAATATCCAAATTAACTAGTAATAATACAGGTCAGCAGTAAATCATCATCCGAATAGCCTGTTATTATTATTATTAAAAATAAATAAATAAATACAAGACGGTTCACAAAACCCCCAGAAATGTGAGTTCGGGCACCAGCCAATCAGTGAAGAGACATATATTCAGTGTTGTCAACAATTCCCAAGATCGAGGATTTAAAGCCGGAACAAAGAGAATGTTTGGTGAATTTTATCAAGGGGAAAGACGTTATTGTCCTTCTTCCTACGGGATTTGGGAAAAGCTTAATATACCAGTTAGCCTCATTAACTGTGCCTTACATACGTCACGACCAAATAGCAGTGATTGGTTAAATAAAAAAGTACCCGCCTACTGTCAAGTGAACGAATTCTAACACTGCGAGGTCAGTTTCTACGAAGTGAAGCCATCTGATGAATCAGGCTATAGCAGGTTAACTATGTCCATTTATATGTAGTCTATGGTTTAGACATAATATTAATGTAATAATAACTGGATTTTCTATAGCATGTTTTAAGATGTCCAGATCACTTTATATTGCATTACTCATTCAATATTGAGTGGGGGTAAGCTCATACAGTAGCCAAAGCTGCCCTCAGACGGAAGTGAGGCTGCACCACCGGCTGCTCCAACCACCAACAATCAGTGACGCACAATCCACATTTAGAGTAGGAAATGTGGGTGAAGTGCCTTGATTAAAGATACAATAATAGTATGCACAAAAGCCAGAGCCACCCACTGCTGTTTATTAGTTCAAATCTATACTGGTGACTCAGTGATGGGAAGAGTACTTTGAAATTGTATTTAGTTGCAGAACACCCGGATTAAAATGCATTTTGTAATTTATTCTGATACATGATCCAATCAGAGTACTGTATTCTGATTACTGAATACTGTTACATGGAGTTGCATTATATTACAGTGTAAAAAAAAAACCTAACAAATAATTACAAACAACTTTATTATTTTTCATCATCTCACAATGTACCACCATGTATTCTTTTAATTTAGGAAAGTGATTTTGAATACCACCTCCATCCAACTTTATTTGTATGGCAAATTTTCCAATGCAAAGTCTTCAAGTGCTGCACAGAGTAAGCACAATATACATTAACACATTGAATCAAATAAAGCATACAATAAATAAATAAGGAAGTTAATAAAAAACATTAAAAATACAAAAATTAGAAAATAGAAAAATAGCAAGTAAAACCAATAAAAGACAGTCAGAGGAGCGCGCGACTGTCACGCCGTGTTAAAAGCCAGTGAGTAAAAGTTTGTTTTTAAATGAGACTGAAGGGGGCACTATTAATGTGAGGGGGAGAGCGTTCCAAAGACTCTAAAAGACTTTTGAGCCTCATTTTTGGGATGATAAGTTGGCCCTCAAATCTCAGAGCGCAAGAAGGAGTGTAAGACCAGTGAGGTCTGAGATGCAGGTTAGGGCCAATCCATGAAACACTTTAAAAACAATAGCCTTTCAAAATAGCTCTGAAACGGATTAGCCAGTGCAAGAGGAGTGTGATGCAAGTGTGATGTGTTCTCTACGACGTGTGCCAGTTAAAAGACATGCAGAATTTTGGACTGTAAGCGATAGGGGTGATATCCAAGTCTCACAATGATATCGTCACGGTATGAACCTCACGATACGATATTTATTGTGATATTGTGGGAAAGCTCATGATATGGTGGGGAGGCTCGCAATTAGCGATGTAACAATATCCAAATATCTCTGTACGATATTTTCATGATATACAGTCGTGGACAAAATTGTTGGTACCCCTCTGGCAATGAAAGAAAAATTGACAATCATTACTGAAATAACGTGAAACTGATAAAAGCAATAATAAATAAAAATTTACTGAAATTTGCCCAATGAAATTCAAACATTGCTTTTCACCTATGGTTCAACAGAATTATTTAAAAAAAATAATTAATGAAACTGGCCTGGACAAAAATTATGGTACCCTTAACTTTATATTTTGTTGCACAAGTTTTGAGGCAAACTCTGCAAACAAATGATTTCTGTAACTGGCAATGAGACGTCTGCACTGATCAACAGGTATTTTGACCCACTCCACGTCAGCAAACTGTTCTAGTTGCCTCAGGTTTGAAGGGTTGAAGGGTTTCAGCTCCTTTCACAGATGTTCAGTAGAATTGAGATCTGGGCTCACAGAAGAACACTCCAGAACAGTCCAATGTTTTGTTCTGAGCCATTCCTGGATGTTTTTATTTGTGTGTTTTGGGTCATTATCCTGTTGGAAGACCCATGACCTATGACTGAGACCAAGCTTTCTGACATTAGGCAACATATTTCGTTCCAAAATCCCTTGATAGTTTTGAGATTCCGTTGTATTTTGCACCGATTTAAGACACCCTGTACCAGATGCAGCAAAACAGCCCCAGAACAAAACCAAGCCTCCTCCATGTTTCACAGTAGGGACAGTGTTCTTTTCTTGGTCTGCTTCATTTCTGCGTCTGTGAACATAGAGCTGATGTGTCTTGCCAAAGAGCTCCAGTTTTGTCACATCTGTCCAAAGAACATTCTCCCAGAAGCTTTGTGGCTTGTCAGTATGCATTGTGGCAAACTCCAGTCTCACTTTTTTATGATTTGCTCTCAGCAGTGATGTTCTCACATGCAGTTCACTTTGGCTCAAACAGTAACAGATGGTGTGATCTGACACTGATGTACCTTGTTACTGTTAATATGCTACTTTTTACTCTTAAAAATGCCTTGACAAAACTTAATCCAAAGAACTAAGGCTTAGAAGTGCTTGAACTGTTATTTCTTCTTTAGTCTGCACTGAAATGGAGCAAAGGATCATGGTCTATGTAGTTCTGTCTATCTTTTTTAGCTATTGCTGCACCATAACTCTTAATTCAAACAAAGAGACTTGTAATTCGATATATTGTGATGGTCCACAATATTATTGTGACAACTTTGATGATACGATATTACGATATTTTGGTTGTTACAGCCCTAGTAAGCGTGACAGGTGAGCTTGGATGATACCAGTGTACAGAGCATTACAGTGGTCAAGACATATAGAGATGAAAACATGGATCACCTGCTCCAAATCTGTAGAACTATACTGGAATACAGGTTCTCAAAATCCTACTTCCCAATACTGTGCTTAGCTACAGTATTTAGGGTTTGTTTTTATAGCCAAGATTATAGCCTGGTATAACTAGCTTTATAACTCACTGACCATAATAATTTGAATTAAAAACCCACAAAAACAACCATACAACTCGACTTAATGAATTGGTTTCTGAAATGAAAATGGTTATTTTATTAGATGAGTGACCCCGGAGTAACTGAAGTCAATGCTGGGTCACAGTAGAAAATGAATGAGCTGTAGAGCATCATTTTTCATTTATGTGGCCAACCTTTGTGTGTGTCTGCACAGTCACGACCACAAAAGAGAAATCCAGTTTTATTTTAGTTCCTTTTGAATCATGTTGCAGACATGTCCTCACTCACAAACCGCAGAAATTTGAGAAAACAGCATCTGCGTCATCCATTTAAGGAAGTACTTTTATATTCACAAATAAACATCTCTTACCAGTTTATACAAGTTCAAAAGTCCAATGTGACTAGAAGTGCATAACGTTCCACCTTGTGATGTCATTAATAAGTAACACACAAACACGCTCCATTGTGTTTTTAAACTCCATTCACCTTCATGTATCATTTGGATCATTTCAAGTCTGGAATTGCCAAACTTTGAAGTTACAGCTACGCACTATGCATTATGTAACTTTTCTAGAGGAAGGTCTGCCTACATTTTGTCTCCATGACGATGTAATTTCTTTGCTTGGAATGTTTCACAGTATGGTATTAAACTTGACTCTCCATGGAAACAAACAGGAGATGACTCCAGATAAAGGCACCAGTCTGATCTGTAGTAGGAGTAGTTTATGTGGTAACTTCCCAGCACTACAAAACAAAACTAAATAAAACAGACTACAGCCCCATAGATCATGACTGAAAGAGTTTAGGCTGAAGTCAAAAGTACTTCTAATGAAAAACCCTTGTAAACAATGACACACTGCCAAGAAAGAAAAGCAGAGTATGAACAGTAAGTTTACATTTACAATTTCACTTTTGACTTACTGTAAATATAAGAGACAAAATACAAATTAAACAAACCAAACTTAATGCATAATTCATTCATTCCAGAGCTCTATATCTTTCAAAACAATCACGCTTTATACTCTATCCTTTAAGGCTTCTACAGTGTTAGACTTTTTTAAATCATCACTCAGATTGTTCCATATACTGAACCCTCTAACAGAAATATAATCACAAAAAAAAAAAAATCAATACTATCAAAGAGATATGTGAAGTGAAAGAAGGATGAAGAGGGGGGGAAGCAAATTGTTGTACATTTGTGATTTGAAACTGCCATCTCTATTTGATTGTTAATAAAAATTTGAATATAAAAAAGAAATATAATCACTTTTTTTCTTAGTTCTTGTCTTCATTTTTTTTTTAATGCCTTTTTTCCAGTTTATGGTTGTACAAACTAATAATAATGTTTACAAAGGCACAAAATTTTATCGTTTATGATCGTACAAAATAAACCACAATGAGAATGAAAAAAAGTAAAGTTGTTTTTGTTTTGTTTTTTGTTTATGGTCGTACAAACTAATAATAATTATAAAGAAGGCACAAAATGTATCGTTTCATCAAAATAAAAGGTAATGTTAAAGAAAATGTTAATGCAAGAAAAGCATGTGTTTAGTTAATAGTTGTGGTTTACTTGTGAGTCTGTGCAGAGGATGGCCCGCTGACTGTAAGTGTGCATGTTCTGTGAGTAATAAAAACACCTGTTTAGTTTAGTTTAATGCCACACTATAAAACATTTCAGACAGGTAATATCATGTCCATGGAGATAAGCAGGTGGTGGACCCTCTACGAAAAGTTACACAATGCAACTTTAAGGTCATTCTAGTGTAGCTAGAGTAAAACCATTTAATGACGTCATAAGGTGGAACAGAGCATTATGAGGTTAGGAAACGTAGACAGCCTGCAGGATTACTCAAACATGTGTGAAAGAAACAAAACACAGCTCCAGGTGTCCATTCGAACATGGCTAAAAGCTCACAAGAGTTCATTTTGATTAATATAGGACATTTAAAAGCTGCTATAGTCCTCATGCAACTATGAATTTTTCCCTTTTCCCTTCAGCTTGTGCTCCAAACTGCAGATCCAGACAGAAAGTGACTCGGCCTACTTCCTGGAAACACTGGCTGGTAACTTCATGGATGTGGTCCAATACAATCAGGACAACAGGGCGTTTGAGGTAGGAACATTTCTGTTAATTGTTATTGTTAACCAGAATCTCCCTTTTCTGTAACTGGAATTTATAGACTTCAAATCTAGTAGAAGTCAGCAAACTGGTCATTCTTTGTCCACTGTTCTTACACAATGATGCACTGTAGTTATACTTGGCTTATAGTTCCCCTTTTATTTATTTTTAGCCTTTCACTTCCTTAATAATAATAATATTGTCAGAGAGTGTGACAAAATAACAGTACAATTAGTTTGGAAATTCATGAATACATTGATGAGTTATGTATTAAAAATTTGGGGAATTATCAGTTTTATATAATAGTCAATTTACTATTATTAACATTACATAATTAATGTTACATAATTTGTCCATCCATCCATCCATTTTCTCGCGTCGCGGGGGCAGCAGTCTAAGCAGGAACACCTCCCGAGGGAGGCGCCCAGGAAGCATCCGGAACAGATGCCCGAGCCACCTCAGCTGGCTCCTCTTGACGTGGAGGAGCAGCGGCTCTACTCCGAGCTCCTCCCGTGTGACTGAGCTCCTCACCCTATCTCTAAGGGAGCGCCCAGCCACCCTGCGGAGGAAACTCATTTCGAGCGCTTGTATCCGCGATCTCGTCCTTTCGGTCACTACCCAGAGCTCATGACCATAGGTGAGAGTAGGAACGAAGACTGACCGGTAAATCGAGAGCTTCGCCTTTCGACTCAGCTCCTCTTTCACCACAACGGTCCGATACAGCGACCGCATCACTGCAGACGCTGCACCGATCCACCTGTCAATCTCACGTTCCGTCCTTCCCTCACTCGTGAACAAGACCCCGAGATACTTGAACTCCTCCACTTGAGGCAAAGACTCCCCACCCACCCGGAGAGGGCAAGCCACCTTTTTCCGGTCGAGAACCATGGCCTCGGACTTGGAAGAGCTGATCTTCATCCCAGCCGCTTCACACTCGGCTGCAAACCACCCCAGTGCACATTGTAGGTCCTGGTTCGATGGAGCCAACAAGACAACATCATCTGCGAACAACAGAGATGAGCCCCTCCTTGAACCGTCACCCCTGCTTGAACCATCACCTTATCGTGGTGGAGGGGTTTGAGTGCCTGAATGATCCTGGGAGCTATTTTGTCGGGGGCTTCATGCCCCTGGTAGGGTCACCCAAGGCAAACAGGTCCGGGGGGACGGGTCAGACGAAGAACGGTTCAGAAGCCCCACATGATGAGTTACACACAGAGGCCAGTTACGTCGCCCGGAATGGCGTCACCGGGGCCTCACCCTGGAGCCAGGCCTGGGGTGGGTGCTCGAAGGCGAGCGTCTGGTGGCTGGGCCTTCCCCCACGGGGCCCGGCCGGGCACAGCCCGAACGAGCGACGTGGGGCCGCCCTTCCGCCCACCACCTGCGAGAGGAGCCATATGGGGCCGGTGCAAAGAGATCTGGGCGGCAGTCGACGGCGGGGGCCTCAGCGACCGGATCTCCGGACATGGAGACATAATTTGTCAGTAGTCTAAACACTCTAGTCTAAACAGCTCTAATATTTATTTAAAAGGCCTGTATTACGCAATTTTCTGATCTCTGTTATAATGTGATTTCCTAAAACACAAACTTTGAATAATTTTCTCCAACACAAAACGCTCTGTTCCACCTTGGGATGTCATGTTAAACCACTTCTTGCGCAAAATTCATATGAAGCACAAACATTTTAATCATCAAAACAGGGAAAATGTCAAATGTGTCAGATAAACAAATTTCCTTCCTCTAAAAAAACAACAAAACTGTAGCTGTAACAAAATAATTTAGTAAAATATACAAAAAAAAAAAAAACTCCTGGTGATATATCAATACTGCATCCCATGGTATGTATCATCACATTAAACGATACTATATCCTGTATCCAGTATCAAAAAGTTGCAACAGTATCAGTTTCATTGCCGCCATTTAAAAAAATCTGCAGCACATAAGAACCTAATATAATATCATAATTTACTGATACCTACATTTGTTTGCTCAGCACAAATGAATGTGTGGTTGTATTTTCAGTTTAATGTAATCACAAAACTAACAGTGTCTATAATGTTTCTTTTAACTGCCCGGGGAGATACCGTTCGATTAGTTTTGTTCCATTGTCATGTGATGCTCATAAAGGAGACCAAGACAAGACAGCAAGTCCAGCCGCAAGAGAGTTGGTCCCAAAAAAATACTAGTACTTCTGCAATTTGGCATAATTTTGCCTTCAGGCGCACATTTGTTTACGTTTTACAGAAATGAAACTGAAAACCACATGGCAAATTTGCATAAACTATAAAGCACTGATAAAAACAGCTCGCTATTGTGCGCTGATGCGTCAGCTTCTGTCGGACTCAGTGGAATATGAGTGTGTGACAGAGGGGTGTTCTGCTGATGATGAGTCTGTTCTGTGTTTCTGTCACGTTAGAGATGGTTCATGTGAAACTTTTCAGAGATTATAAGTCTGCAGGTCAGACGCAGAGACTGTATAGCCGTAAAGCAGTGTGACTTCGTAGTTTACCAAAGTCGTACTAAAACTTGTCGGTAATACTGTAATACTGTATACCCCGGTAAAATCCTGAGAAGGTTTAACAGTATTAAAATATGGATACTGCCCAACGCTAATGCTATATCAATATTTCGATATTTCTGCCTACCCCTAGTGCACACCATAAGAGCTTGACTACCAACGGACTGTTATGTTGTGTTTTCTCTATATGTTTGTATCGATTTTCTATTCTCTGAAGTTTAAAGCTTCATTGCGCAACTTTTCTGGTGGAATCTCCATCACCTGTTTTGTCTCTAAGGAGATGTTATTTCTTTACCTGGAACTTTCCATGGTATGACATTAAACACATCTATCTAGTATTTATTCATTACGGGTGTTTCTACTGCTCAAAAATTCAATAATTCTCTCTGTGAATAGGGCTGCTTCTCCACAGATCTGACTTGTAATGCCTATAGTTGTCTCCCTTGAGATGGATACGTTTAATTTATACTGTGGAACATTCTAGACAAAGCAATAACATCTCCATGGACAGGAGCAGGTGACAGAGCCTCCACCAGAAAAGTTGCGCAATGCACCTTTTACGTTTTTTTTACACAGTTGACCAGAGGCGGGTGAAAGTGAGATTTTGTGTCTCATTGAGGACCTTTTGTGTGGCTGGTTGAGTGGACCTGAGTTATGAGGAGCAGGAGGGTCAGTCTGCCCGGGCAGTTAAGTGTAACATAATCAACCCTTCATTATCAGAGAGAGGGGCCCCAGGACACTAAAAAGAACCCATTTCTGCAGTCAATCTCCAGTACTTTTAGGAATTTAAAGGTGCATTGTGTCATTTTTCTGGTGGAGGGTAAGCAACCTGTCTGGTACTATGGAAGTGCTTTCCCTGAAATTCTTCACAGTATTCTATTATTTAATTGTGGGTGTTTTATTTATTCCAAAATACCTAGAAAAACAAGCATTCTGACTGTCGGGGTCACCTCTCCACAGATCTGACTTGCACTTGGCATGGCCTTGATGCTCATGTTCACGAAGAGAGACTCATGTAATGCCATACTGTGGAATATTTCAAACAAGTAAACTTTTTTTTTTTTTTTTTTTAAACTTAAAGGTGCATTGTGTAACTTTTCTGACTGGGTTAAATGCAGAGGACAAATTTTGCTATGGGGATAAAAAAGTACCTTTCTTTTGTTCTTTCTTTTGTTCTTTCTTTCTTTCGTTTGTTCATTCGTTCCTTTTCTTTCTTTCGTTCATTCTTTTGTTCGTTCTTTCGTTCGTTCTTTCTTTCTTTTCTTTCGTTCATTCATTCTTTCGTTCGTTCTTTTTCTTTCTTTCGTTTGTCCTTTCATTCTTTTGTTCTTTCTTCCGTTCTTTCATTATTTCTTTCTTTCTCTCTTTCGTTTGTTCTTTCGTTCGTTCTTTTGTTCTTTCTTTCATTCGTTCTTTCGTTCGTTCTTTTGTTTTTCTTTCGTTCATTCCTTCTTTTGTTCTTTATTTCGTTCTTTCTTTCATTCTTTCTTTCGTTCTTTCTTTCATTCTTTCTTTCGTTCGTTCTTTTGTTCTTTCTTTCGTTCGTTCTTTCGTTTTTTCTTTCATTCTTTCTTCAGGGTCTATCAAATGCTTTTCTCCATGGAGATGTTTTTCCTTTGTCTGAAATGTTTCACAGTACGGCATTAAACCTTTATATCATCATGGAGACTAAACTAGGCCAAGTTACAGGTCAGATCTGCGTAGAGGCGACCCCGCTCACAGTTAGAATTTCAAGGTATTTTTGAGCAATAAAACCACCTGTAATTGAATAAATGTAAAGTAGAGCTGTTTAATGTCACACTGTGGAACATTCAAAGCAGAACAACGATGTATCCATAGAAACAAGAAGGCGACAGACCCCTAACCGTAAAGTGGCACAGTGCACCTTTAAAGTCAGTTTCTTTCCCCTCTGCTCCTGCGTCTCTTGTGCCTGCAGGATACGTGAGTCTGGTTACCAATAAGCTCATGTGAAAAAGTAACAAAAGAGTCTTTGGTCTCTCTGGTTTCCTGTCGCCCTGAGCTAAAAAGACCGCTGTAAAAGAATCGCCGATACAGCCAAACCAGGGCTGGAACGTAACAAAGTACAAGGAGTAAAGTACTGCACTGTATACATTTTAAGTATTGGTTCTTTACTTAAAGGTGCATTGTGTAACTTTTCTGGTGCTTTTGTCCAATGGAGATGTTATCACTTTGTCTGGAATCTTTCAGTGTCAGTTTCATTACCATCATCTATCTTCATGGAGACCAAACCAGAACAAGTTACAGGTCAGATCTGCGGAAAGACGACCCCACTCACAGTCAGACCACCTGGTTTTCTATTGGTATTTTTGAGCTATAAAACCACCTGTAGTTGAATAAATGTAAAGTAGAGCTGTTTAATATATTGAAAAACAATCTAAGCAGAGCAACATCTCCATAGAAATAAGCAGTTAATGCTTTACGAGTACATTTTTAAAGTTCATACTTTTTAATTTTACTT